TATTGTGGTCTGGGTTCCTGTCTCAACCATCACATCCTCAAACACAGTTTGGGTCCCTGCCTCAGTCACATTCCTCTGAGAGATCTGAACAGCAGCTCGGTAGGCACAGGCCAGGCCCCAGCACAGGGCAAGGAGCTGCTGGTTTTCATTGGGCTGGGCAAGGCACCCCTCTATCAGCTGAGGGGTCAGCTTGTCAGGGTTGATTACCTGCTCAGGTGTAAATTCCCAGGCAATGGGAGGTGATAACCGCCCTAGGAACCTGCCCAAATCCTTCCATACACCCTGCCACCCAGGAACTGACTTCTTCAGGGGACGTTTTGGTATCACCTCACTCAAAATTTGTTTCCTCGTACACCACCATGACATCAGATTCCACAAACCCCATGATATGCTTACAGTACTAATTAAACAGATCATGTAAGGATGAACAAGGACTGCTGCAGCCTGCACAATAAAAGAATCCGCATCAATTCCGGGTAGGAAGAGAGAGATGTATTCCCTCATTGTCTCCACAAGATAGCTCTCCCAGCACAGCAAGGCCATCAATGCCAGGGAAAAGCACAGAGCCATTGTTTGTATTACCATGTTCCCAAACTCAGCAAAATAAAGAGATAAGCAGTGCAGCTGACAAACTGCGTTTCGCACAGGAGCTCGCTACTGGGTAACTAATACCACTATAGAATGCAATATAGATAAATAGGTGCTGGTGTCTGACCCCACATCAGGCACCAAAAAGGGCTGTGATGGGCTGACTCGGGCTGGATGCCAGATGCCCACCAAGCCACTCTATCACTTCCCGTGGGGGAGAAAAATAAGACGGAAGACGACTCGTAGGTTGAGATAAGAGAGGTCAGCAAAGCAAAAGCGAAAGGTTGCAAAGGCACAAGCAAAGGAAAAAAAACAAAGATATTATTCTCTACTTCCCATCAGCAAGTGATGTCCGGCCACTTCCTGGGAAGCAGGGCTTCAGGACACACAGCAGTTGCTCTGGAAGGCAAATGTTTTAAGTAACAAATATTCCCCACTTCCTCCTCCTTTTCCCAGCTTTTATATCCAAGCAGACGTCATATGGTATGGAATATTCCTTTGGTCAGTTTGGGTCAGCTGGCCTAGCTGTGTCCCCTCCCAAGACCTTGCCCCCTGCCAGCCTACTGATGTGGGGGCAGAACTTTGGAGAGACAGCCCTGAGGCTGTGCCAGCAGTGCTCAGCAGCAGCCAAAACCCTGGAGTGTTATCAGCTCCTTTCTAGCTCCCAATGCAAAGCACAGCACTGTGATGGCTGAGCTCCATCTCACCCAGACCCAATGCAGGATCTTAAGCCACAAAGTTAACCTACAATTCTCAAGTAAGAGCTGGAAATTTAAATATAGGTAAGTGGTTTTAAAGGTTTGGCATCACCCACCTTTCTTCTCCTTCCACTATTGGCAAGCTGTTTATAAAGTGAACCGAAGGAATAATTTAACCTGGGAATCCTGGCTGCAACTGGAGGAACGCCACCAGCGCCCCCCCACAACTGTCCTGGCCACTAATACAGCTTTTCTGCTGTGAGACAGGACAGAGATTCCTTAGATTTTTTTTTAACTACCAACAAAAATAAATGCTTACTGGGAAAAGTAATCTTCAAAATGTAATCCTAAACTTGAGAGAAAACCTTAATACTGTTTACAGCACTTCCTATACATACTGCATTTGCTCTGCTATTCTTCCTTACTGTATCATTCCTCCTGTTTGTTGCATTTGGGACTTCAGTAACAGCTGGGAGGGTAGGAAACTTCAGAGATCATTATTAGCTTGATTATTTTTTGACATTACAGTACTCACTCTTTTGATACTCACACTACTTTTGCTCACTACTTCTCATACTCAGAAATTATTAGCTATTTTGAGCAATTCCTGCACAAGGGCGGGTGGGGGTTATGTACATATAGCATATAGGCCATGAGAATGATGATAAATCTAACTAAAACAACAGAATTCACTACAAAGATATTGTTTTGAAGCATTTCTCTTACAGAATTTTTTTATTATATTCTTTGAAATAGTTTACAGTGTTTGTATCTCTTTCACTGTTATTACAATTTAAAAGATTAACTAAAAATACCCTGTCAAAAATTAATAGTGGAGCAGTCCAATTCGATTGTATTTATTCTGCAGACTCCAAGAAATTAGGATGCAGGTTATCAGCAACTGTGCTTAATTAGTAAGAAACTTATTTAAACCCAATGATACGCATGGTCAAGGTTGCTCTGCTCAATTGAGACAATAGTTCTGCTTGATTGGGATGCTTTCAGATGGTTTAATTGTTGAAACTGATGCTCTGCTCTGCTGGTTCAGGCTTGCAGTGGTTCTCTCGCTCTTTTCAACTTGCTGGGAACATTTTGCAATTGGAGCTGACATAGCACCCAAAGGGCTCCCTGACTGATGACTTTTACTTCCCCCAGCTCATGCCTCCAGCACCAGTTCTGCATTGCCAGCTGCCCCACTGCACAACAAATGTGCTGCCGAGGACAGGGACGACTCAAGGGCAAGGGCTGCTCTCGGTTCCCTTGACTTGAGTATTGAACTTGTGCTTTTCAGTAGCTGGAAGGACTTTATCATCAGCTCAAGAGTTCAGCAACACAATACAGACATATCTGCTACCCCTACCACACAGAAGAGCAGCAATTACAGCTGCCTGAATGAATTCAATGAGAAGTTTAAGAAGTTTGTGACTCCTGCTGCTGTGACTTCCTCCTCAGCAAACACCCGATGATTTTTAAACTTTGCATTAATGCTACAACACCTGAGAGCTGTTTACTAACTCATGGGAAATAGAGATGAAGCCTTAGCTCAGCTCTTAGAAGAGCCTCCCTCTCACTCAAATTTTTTGTTGGCAGCCTCAGTGGGAAAGGGTCACCAAGAGAGTCACATGTTTTCTCAAACCGGGGATGATCTCCCTGAAACACTCTGCTGAGCAAAATAAGGAAGCTTGCAAAGTAGCTGATCTGTCACTCAGAAATAACAAAAACTGGCTTGAAAGATGGAAGTTTCTGGTGGCCATTAAATTCACTGCGAATAACTAAGATAGCATTTTAGACAAAGTACCAAAGCCAGGACAAAGTTTGCACAGTCCGCAGCCCTTGGCAGTGTGTCAGTAGAACACAAGATGGCTCCACTTCCATCAACAAAGAGCTTAGTGCCACTGCAGAGTCCCTTGCATCCAACTAATCGTGTCCATCGACTGAAACCAGACCTGTTAGGCTGTCCCGTGCCCTGCCAGTCCACTCAGCGCCCAGAGCCAAGGAGCACAACAGTGCTGCAGCCTGCAATAGGGTGAGCTGAGTTGGGAAGATAATACAAGCCTGGGAAAAAATGTGGAAAGGGATGTTAACTCCAAGCTGCTTTACAGATCAGCAGCTGTCTCCAGCAAGGCTGAAAAACAGGAGACCATAGCCAGCCTTCAGTAGCTGGAAATATTTAAGGGCAGGGTAAATATGCCTCTACTGATCCATCTATAGCTGAACATTCTTACTATCCTCTTTTGCATTTTTGTTGTTTCCTTCTGGCTTTTCACATTCAAAATATCCCGCAGAATCAGTGCAGACGTTTTGTGAAAAAGGCTTGGTTTGAAACCTTGTCTGTACCAGTTCCTATATAAAGTTTCATTGGGGTTTTGCTAGTACAGTCCTGCTGCTAAGTATTGATGTTCTCAGCATAGGCTGGTGGGAGAACGACAGAACAGCTGAGGCAGAAACGACCAGAAACATCAGCATCAGCCACAACAGCAGCAGGTGGAGGGAGAGAGGAGCGGGAAAGACTGGTAAGTGTGTATGGGGAATGGAAAATGGCTTTAGAGAAAAGATGAAAGGCGAAGGAAGGGTAAGAGAGTAGAAAAATTACACACCAACCCTAAACCACCCCAGGAGCAGGAGACTGATTTGGAGCAGGCTCTTGCCTTGGGCACAGGTGGCTCAGTGTAACGCAGCAGTCTGTAGGGACTGGAAACACGAATGCAGAAGCACACACTTAGTGCATCTATTTAGAAGTAAAACAGGACTACTTGTCACTGTGAGCAGGTCTGTCTGGCAGGGAATATCCATGCAAAGTGATGCAGTGCATTTTGGGGCCTATCAGTACATCTTTAGAAAACACTGAACCCCTTCAGCTGTCTTGTGTTCAGCTAGATCCAAAACCTTACTTCCTACGGAAGGATCTTCTAGAATACATGAGGGGAAAAGGCATCATTTCAGTGGTACAGTTCCACTATTCAGGAAACAAAACACCACCATTACACACTGAGAAGGGTATGTTCTTATGAAAAAACAACCCCAGGCTCCCATCTTTTTATGCAAGTTTTTTGCCTGACCCACTGGATTTCACAAACTTCACTTCCATGGCCTTCCTACTGCTGGTCCCATTCCCTTCTCACCTGGATGAGGGCCCACAGGATGGTAGGGAGATGGAATCTGCTCAGCCAGAATGCTGACCCCTCCAGCCATGCCGGTGAAGGAAACAGCCTGACCAAGCTTCACTATCCATCCAAGGGAAGAGAGAGCACTGGGTATGTGTCATAGCACCTATGGTACCATAGCAAGTACATTTTTGCATGGGATGACCATGAAGAATAAAAAGGCCTGCCCTGAAATCGCTGCAGTAATATTTTGAAAATGCCAAAATGCAAAAGATCCCAATAACAAACATGGAGCCATTTATACCCACAGTGAAAAAAGCATTAAAACTACTGAACGAGACCAGCTCTGTACTATTGATTTTCAGATAAATGTCTGGGTCAGGGAATGACTGCAAGCACAAAATGAGAAGATTTGGATGAAAAGTTAAATGCTTTTTTGGCTTTCCTACGACCTAGCTGGCCATGTGCTTTATGAAGATTCATTATCAGAACTGTAATTTGGTTACCACTACAACAGTTTCAGGGTTCCCAGCAGCAGTTTGCTGGAGCTGCCGAGGTTAAAGATGAATGTATTGGTTTTTTGACCTAAATAAATGATCATTAAACAAGATTGCTAAAGAAGCAAACTGTCAAAGTCATTTCATTTATTTCTTAATATCACATCTGTACAATTTTCATACATACAGCAGGAAATGCACATTGGTTACACAATGGCATTTGGCTGCATTTCCAAGTATAATACAGTAAGTGCAACTCCACTTAAAATGTACATTTATACAACTTAAACAAATTAAGGATTGCTACACCACTATCTGTGACAGTATAAAGCTTCATTTATGTTATGTCTCATTACTAAACCACTTCCCGGTTAAATATAAAACATATTCAATCATTTTAAAATGGCCTTTGTGGTACCTGGCCAGCATATAAAATATTTGTTGTTTAAAATTTAACCATTAACCTTTTGTTTTAAAAAATAATCCTCTAAGCCTATTTAAACATTTGCTATTGAACTGTTATACTGACACTTTGTAGCAGGAACCAAATTTTACCCTCCTTTGTTTGCCCTTGCTTATCACCAGAAGAAGTTACATTTGCAATGTATTGCAGCTTTATTCAGATACAGCCAGGTGGTTAAAGTATTTAACAATTTTGTTCAAAAGGTAAATAACATTTTTCATTAAAGAAAACAAAATTACATTTCAGAGATATGTGTCAAAAGTTTAATGGATAGAGTGCTACCAGCACTAAAAAGAAAAAAAAAAAAAAGAGAGAGAGAGAGAAAAGAAATAATGAAAATAATTAATTTATCTTTTAAGAAACATCCGAATATTCTTATAATTTTACTTTTGGAATACATTGGTCCACAGACCACATTCTTGTTACAGCTTACCAAATGAAAACCAAAATTTCTTATTGCCGTCCCTGTAACAGGAATGGTTCAGTTTTAAACTTCCTTTAAAAATATACATTTTACAATCCTTTCACCTCAACAAAGGTGACACTGACAATAAATACACTGGTTTGGTGGGTTTTTTCCTTCACTATGAGAAGTCTACAAACTACCTGTTGTATGCCCTTTCTTTTTTAGATTTCTCCAATGCCTTGTCCATAGTTTTCTCATTTTCTCCTCTACATTTGGGGCAGTACCATTTGCCCTTTGGTTTATGGTTGAGTCCCACACAAGAGAAGTGAAACCATTCAATGGGGCACTCATCATTATCACATCCTATCATTTCTCCATAGGAGACCTGGTTGCACAAGCAGTATGTTGGCTCATTAGGGTCAATAGGAAGGTCAGGGGGAGAAGCTTCCCGCTCTGCTTTAGCCTTGGATCGTTTCTTCTTCTTGGATGTTTTTGCTTTCTTCTCCTTTGGTGTTCCTGAGGTGATGTCATCATGATCATGATTATTTGAGGCATTTTCTCGATTCTCATTATTCCTTTGCCTCCTTGATCTCTTGTTGTTGGGCTTTTCAGCCTGTGCGATTGTCTCATTCTTCGACTTATCCTGGCTGGCTTTCCCGCTGTTTCCAGTGGTGTCATTAGTCTCTTGACAAGTCTCAAACAGTTCCACATGGCTGTCCACTTGCCTTGTTCTGTTCTCAACAAGCTCCACCATCTGACTGACAATTTGGATCTTCTCATCCCCCAGTTCCTGACTACGAATCAAGGCTCTCTGTATGCAGTGCAGCATTCTTCTCTTCTGCACAGCATCTGTCTCCCGTTTAAATTTTTCATAATAATCATCCAAGTCCTTCAGAATCTCTGCAAAGAAGAAATAAAAACTATAAATATTTTTGACAGGGAGAATGGCAAAACAAAACCTCCCATTTTTTCCTTCCATCCAGCAACAACTTCTTGTAACATACAGTACTGATCAAAGACAGATTCCCTGAAGCTCATATCTAACAGGCATCTCATGGCTCCACTGGAGACTACTTTTGTTCTAGTTGGTCCCACAGGAATGGAATGCAAATGATTATTTAGAAGAAAAAAGTGACTAAATAATTTTTTATGTATGTTGATAATATTTCTTTTTAAACTTTTCAGCAATTAAAAAGAACTAACTAAACCAATACACATACCATCAAAAGTTCCAAGGTTAACTGCAAAATTAGAGGGGAAATTAATGGACTTTTTCTGTATAACAACATTAACATTTTCAGTGAATGACAGAGTGGGAGAAAGGGAGTGGGACAGAAAGAAAGCACAAACTAGTGTAGAGGCACACTGCTGGGTTATTTGACAGGAGATGCAGAGGCACCAAATACGTGGTCTGGACCCAAAACTATTTCATCCAATACTGTCAAGCTATTTCTGCTGAAAAATCTGAGGCCATGTAAATCTCTCCATTACAGAATTAGGATTACAATATCCAGGATGTTTAAATTATTTCTTACCTATACCTTCTATATTTCTGTAAAATACATGTTGCTACGTTTAAAAACACAAAAATATCATCTACATTAAATATTTACTGCAGAGCGGGAGGTAAAGTTAAAGGATAACATTAAAGATGATAGGCAACAATGGGAGCAGCTAGAGCTTCTGCTTTAAAATGTGTTACATCTGAATTGCACAAGGATTGTTCTAACAGTTTATAAAATCAACAATGCACAAAGTACCTAAAGTTTCAAGAATGGGTATGGAAACCTATTTTTTAAGATGTTTTTGAATTTCATTATAATGCACAAATCATCTACAGCATATGCGACACTCAGCACTCCATATTAAGTCCTCAAAAACATATGGAATGTTTTTCCCGCACCTCCTTTCTCCTCTGAATTTTCCCTTTCTCACGGGCTAGAGCAGTCTATCTTAGAGAAGCAAAATACACTGAGATATAAAATTTGACCTCAATTCATCAAACAGAAACCAGGATCTCTCATACATGCAAATGGCATTACCAAAACTTTTTTAAACTTTCATTTATTCATTTATTTACTTATTTATTTATTAATAGGAGAATGTGACACATATGCAAACCAAGAGTTACCCTGTGGTTTGGGTTTTGTCTTTCCTGGGCAGAGTTTTTAAACATACATGATTTCCAGTGAAGACGTGGAAATATTATGCAAGCTTCACTTCAGATTTAGAGCTGCAGCTTGTGCTTCACACATTGGTTAAGCACAACCTGTCAGCTGGTTCTGCAATATAACCTATCTGACCAAATCAGCATTCTGATATGTTATTATCCATTTTAAGCAACTGGTGGGTTTTTTGCTTTTTACCTACAAAAAAAATCACAAAACAACAATTAAAAAAATACCAAAAAGAAATCCAAACCCAAGATGCCACCAAAAGATCCTTCAAACATACAGCAGATTCCACATTCAGGAAGGCTGAAGAAGCAGAGTTAATGATTTTCAGCGGCTGAAATGCAAAAGTTTTATGCTTTAAGCTTTGGCACTTGACTGATGTCATCAGTTTAACCCATCCGAATCCGGTGGGTGGGCGGGCATCGTGCATGAAGAACAGTCTCAACAGCACACAGCAATCACCGACTGAAGTTCGGCGTTGGGAAAACTTCGGTCCTAGCACGGCACACTGCCATTCCCGCCCGGCAGCAGCAGCCGTGGCTGCAGGCTGGGGTCCTGCCGAGCGCCGCCGAGCGCGGCCCGCACGGGCGTGTTTGGAATGTGAGACACGGAGCGGGAGCTGCCGCAAAGCCGAGGCTGCTCAGCACCGGAGTCGGGAGCGCGCTGCTCACTCGGGGCCGAGAGAACCATCGGGGCGGCGATGCTGCGGCTCGGGGCTGGCTGCCGCTGCCAGCCTCGGGAGCTCAGCTCACGGCAGGAATTCCGGGAAACCGCGCTCCCGCGCCGAGCTGCAACGGCGGGAGCGGAAAGCTGCGCTCTCAGCGATTGGCGAACGCGCACTCCTGGCATCGAAAGCGCACTCAACCGGGGGGAAATCGTGCCGCCAGAGCTCTACTCCGCAGCCCCACGGGACTGAGACACCGCGGAACGACGGCGAGCGGGACACGGGCGAGGGATCGGCCCCCTCCCCGCCCCTCTGCGGCGCCCGGGGCCACCCCGGAGGTGACGGAGCCGCCATTGTTCTCGGGCAGGAAACCGGGGCGATCCCGCGGCGGTCCCGGGGGCGCGGGGGGGGGGGGGGGGGGGGCCAGGCCGCCCGGGGGGGGGGGGGGGGAGGGAGGGCCCCCGCCGTCCCGAGCGGGGCGAACAGACCCTCCCGGGGAAACAAACAAGTGATTGACACCCAGCGGCGGCCAATCACGACGGGCGGGAGCGCGCTCGCGCCCGCCCCCTCTGGCCATTCACGAGCGAGGCGCGGCTGGAGCAGCGGCGCCCCCCCCCCACGCCGGGACACGTCAGTCACCCTCCGGACCGCCAAGGTTGCCCCGCCCCCTGCCGCGGGCCCGGCCAATCAGAGCGCGCCGGCCGGGGCCGGCCGAGATATTCAAATCAACCCCACGGAAAAGTTGCTTCTCGAAACGTCACGAGGGGGCGGGGGCGCGAGACGGGTCGGCCCGGCCCCGGAGCCAATCCGCGCGGGGAGGCGGGGCGCGGCCGGCCCGTGGGCCGCCCCCGCCCTATCAGCGCCCCCGACGGGCGTGGCGAACGGCGATATGCAAACGAGGGGTGTCTATAAAAAGAGCACAGACGCCCCTTCCTAGCACAGCGCGGAGGTGCCCGCTGGACGCGATTTTGTGGGGCGCGATGTTCGCCCTGCCCTTTTCTTCTCCTCCCGCCCCCGACAGCCCCCGCGGGCTCCTGAGGAAGTTTCCCCCGGACCCTTCCCCTGGGAGCTGATGGGCTCTCATGGCGAGCTGCCCGAGGAGCGGCTGAGGCAACGGCACGCAGGGCTCGCTACCCACCACCCCTAAGGCCACATGCACGGGGCGAGGGCAGAGAGAGGGGGTCCCCCCTCCCGGCATCTCGGCTGTCACCGCTACCTGCGGCACAGAATAAAATAAAGAGTGTCGTGTCCCCCCCCNACTTCCCGAGCGGACGCCAGCGACCAAGTGACAAAGCTGCCCCGAGTCCCGCAAACCGGCCTCCCCTTCCTTCCCTCCGCCCGTGGGGACGGGGACGGCGTGCCCCGAGCGCGGGGAGGGGAGGGGGCGCTTCAGCCCAGCCGTAAACGCGACCGTGTGTGTCTCCCCCCCCACTCACACCGCACACGCCGGTCCTGCCCCCTCGGCCCCCCCGCCCCACGGAGCGGGGCTGTTTCACCGGGTGAAACGAAACCCACCGAGGACGGAGGGAAGAAAGCACACCCTGCCCCCCACTCTCGCCTAAACCCCTCTCCTCCCTCCCTTCTTCCCTCCCTCCTTCACTAGCTGCCTCTCTCCCCTACTACAGCCATAATGAATACTGTACATTCCTAAATGTTGTGCTGTAATCTCTCCCCCTCTATCCACCCAGCACTTTCTTCTGTACCCCTAAACCCTTCCACCTCAGCCCCACGGCCAGGGACGGCCCCCCTTTGTGCACCGCACACCCCACTTCCCTGCCCCCGCCTTCTTGGCCAGCAATTTACACAGAAAAGCAGAGTCCTTGCTTAATAAGAAAAGCCGGAGACCTTTTGTTCCGCCCCATGACAAGAGCTAACGCTGCAGATCAGTCCCTCTCTCTCCTCGGATCTTCCCTCCCGGCTTTCTTTCTCCTTTTACCTCCAAAAAATAAAACTACCATCCCTGTGGGGTGCAGAGGGGCAAACGGAGCCGAGGCTCGGCTCCAAAGAAAAGAAAGACACCCTTCCCCCCTGAGCCCCGAACCACACACACGGACACACACATATATAGAAAGCACTTACCTTGATATTTGGCGTCAATTTCCCTCATCAAGGAGACATTTCTCTGCAGATCGAAGGGCATAGACTCGATGGAGTCCAGATAATCCTCCACATAGTTCACTAGGTGAAGCTGGTCTCCGTTTGCAGGACTCAACATTTTCATCCGGCAGAGAAACAAAAATTCTTCCCCACACCTTTCTGTGTGAGAGCAAGTGCTGCTCCCTTCAAAGACGGTAACCCCGGTGAAGGTCTCACTCCCTGCCCACCTCTCTCGGTAGCTCCCCCCCAAAAAACCGAGGGAAGCTACATCTGACTCCTCTTGTGTGAAAAAGAGGGAGAGAGAGACACACACACACCCTCCGCTAGTCCCCTACAGCCAGCAGCAGCTGATTGAATGGCTGTCGTTGTGGGTAATTCACGAAGGAGGTGGTAAGAACAATCAGAGGGATTTGTGTGTGTGTGTGTGTGGGGAGGGGAGGGAGGGAGGAGGAGAAAAGAGGGGGGCTTAAACCAGCTCCTCCGAAACAATCTGGAAACAAAATGTGCTCTGCAAAGTGTCTGTCAGAGGCAGCGGCAGCCCCTCTGCCTGCGCCAGCGCCGCTCTGCTCCGCTTCTCCTCCGCTCCCCCCTTCCCCGCTCTCCTCCTCACCGCCGCCGCCGCCGCTCCCCGGCGATATCAACGCAGCCTCCTCGCTCCCATACGCCGCGCTAGATCCAACGTGGAAAACCCAAATACCAGTTTCAAACACTTGGGAAACATTCGGCCCCGCCAGCCAAAGCGCATGCGCTCTCTCCCAGCGCTGTGTACACACACACACACACACTCACACACACACTCACCGCACACACTCAATCCCTTCCCCCGCCCGGAACCTCCGCATATCCATCGTCCCGCCTCCCTTACTCACGTTTGGGGAGGGAGGGAAGGCAGCGGGGATGCGGGCCGAGCCGGGGGGCGGGCGGCGCAGGGCCGGCGTGGGCGTGGAGTGAAGGAAGCCCCGGGGAAGGCGGAGGCTCCGGTGAAGTTGTGCGGAGGCTGGGAGGCGAGCGGCCCGCGGGGACGCTGGGGGATCGCGGGGGCAAGTGAATGCTTTTGCGGTAGGGTACCGGGACTTTGGAGGAGTCTCGCCTCCTGCCAGCTCGCCCCGAGACGGAGCGGCTCCGAGGCCTTTCCTAGGAGAAGGAACACTGAGAACCATGCGACGCCACCCCGCGCTGCGGGCAGGGCTGTGCCCGGCGCGGTGCTGGCCGCCGAGGGGAAACGGGGAGCGTTTCGTCCCTCCCTCCTCAGCGGGCACCCGCATCCATCACCCCGCGGCGTCTGACAGCCGCCCCAGCCAATCACCGCGCCCCTCGCGTCCCGCCCCGCGGCCTCCTCAGCCAATCCCCGCTGTGACACCGCTGCCCGGGATACCGCGCGCCGCGGCAGACGGGGCGGTAACGCCCGAGGGGAGGGGGCGGGTCTGCGCATGCGCGATTTGTCTGGCGACAGGGAGAAAATGGAGTCGTTAGGGACGCAGCGCGCCTACGTTTCCCAGCGGTCTCCGGGCGGTTGTGCATGCGCGAGTTAGGGCTGCCTGGAAGGCGGGAGGGGAGGAAAAGGGAAGGAGGGAGGGTGGGTAGCCGAGTGAGTTTGCTGCGGCTCCCTTGTCCCGCGCCATGGCGAGGGAAGGGTCACCGAGGACGCCGCCAGGGGCTGCGCTGTAAAGGAGGCCAGCGGCGGAACGCCGCCGCCCCGCATGGTTGCCGGCGGAGAGGGCTCACTGCCGGCCAGGACGAGCAGAAGGGGCACCCGGGTACAGCTCTGTGCCGCCCGCGTTCTCTCCGCCAGAGTGGCCCGGGGGTCGTGCGGAGGAATCCCGCTGTCGGTCAGCATTGCCTTTGTGTCCAGGAGTCTCTGCCATGTCCCGGACCCTGCAGGCACCCGGCTCTGCGAGGAGCGGGGAAGGCGGGCCTGAAAGACCTACCCAGCTCTGCTGAATCAAAACAACGTGCGCTTTCTGCCTCTTGTTTTTTTTTAGCAGACGTCACTGTCAATCCCCTAATTTAGGGGAGACTGAGTCATCAGCTGTGAGCGCCCGGACCCGCTGGTGCAGTCGCTGCTCAGTGAGGCCCTGGCGTTGAGCTCGGAGGGAGCGGCGGCCTGGCTGGGCACCTCGGCGTCTCAGCCCCTGCTCAGTGCTCTTGCTGCTGCCGTCAGCTTGGTGCGTGAACGCCCAGGGCTGGGGTTTCAGGGAAGAACAGGCAGCTGTTTAGCAATACTTCCAGTATCCTCTCTCCTAGCCTCCAGTGGGAGACGTGCACCCAGCTATTTTCTGAAGAGTGGAGACGGTACCATAGACCAAACTTTGAACTGATACCGACCTGCTGTTTGGGGCAGATGTCAGAGGGCACTTCCTTGTTTTCTGAAGATCCTTGTAAGTTCTCCCGTTATTTTCTTCCTCTCACTTTGTTTCCGTGAGCTGCTGTAAAAAAAGGAGTTGCTGAAGTAAACCTCATATATACAGGATCTCAGGTTTTTAACTTAGAAGCACCATGGCATCTGGGCAGTGCTCCGAGCCAGTTGCTGGACCTGTGTGCTCTGGTTTACTGTGGCATAGAGAGGGAGTTGGCAGCAGTAGCCTGGGAATACCTATTCTAGATTGTTGGCACCAATTTGGTAGTTAGAACCTGTTCCACCCTCGCCTTCAAGAGGGTGAGCCACTGTTAGCAATTGAAGGTAGTTAACAGTCCCCTGGGTAGTTAAGAATCCAAGCCAATAATTATGACTTAGTAGAGGTAAGACATCTGAAAAGAGTACAGATGAGTCCTAAAAAGAGTCATTCTTGCAAAAAAGGTAATCATCATTCTAAACACACACAAGTAATTACACGTATAAGATAAGAGTTTGTAAAAGTACCTGCTAATTTACTAAACAGGAACTTTTTTCCCTGCTCTTAATAGAAAAAGAATTTAGGAAGAGAAACGCTGAAAAGTAATGGTAGCCTACTAAGTTTCAGCAATCTCCTCAAAAGCATTGATAGTTTGGATGTGCTGAGGTTAGAGAGCTTTGTATCATCTGGCTCTTAACAGTGCTGTCTACTATGTCCTCCTCTGTTAGCTTCTCATATGTTACTAGAAGAGTGACAGAGAGAAAATCATCATGAGACTTCACACAAGTCCCTGGGACAGGAAGGGACTGAGCTCCCCTGAGAATGCATTTGGTATCCACTTTGAAGGTTCTCTTTTACAGCTCTTAAAGATGATGCTCAGTGCTTTGTATAGTGCTGTGGTCAAATATCTGTACCCAGAAATATCAATTCTCCATACACCCCTCTAGGCTCAGCAGCCAGGAGCTGATGCCCATTGCCCATCTCTGCTTTTCCTCCTTCTTCTCTGCTTTCTTCTTCTTTTGGCCTCTTGCCTCTGAACTACAATAGGTGGGAGATGGGAGATTTTGAATAGGGTTTCAGATATTTTTTTCATATTGGGGGCCCATTTCTTACCCTGGAGAAGAATTCACAAGTAGAAGTGAATGTCATGTGTCAAAGAAGGAAGAGACTCTTGGGCTTCATTTTCTTGCTATTTCCTATATTTGACTGGAGGATAAAAGTATATATCTGTTCTCCTTTGGCTCCCAAGCCCCTTTGCTTTGTTTATAAGAAATCTTTCCTTTTTAGAACCCAAAATATTTGAGGTTTTCAGAAGTTTCTTGAAGCTGTTGCCTTACTATAGATCTAAACTCACAGCAATTAAAATCCAGGGAACTTATAACCAGATCAACAACTTGCACAACTACTGTGTTATATACAATGTGTGTATATACAAAATATACTTCATATAATAGAAATGTTTTAGTAATTATAGTTGTTCCAGGAATTATGGTTATTCCAGCTCATCAGCATGAAGTTCAAAATACTTGATATGAGGAAGATAAAATCCCAAACCTCCAAACGTTCCACAAATGCACACACTGCATAGCTGCTACGAGGAATTCTGGCTGCCTCCTTTCTCCTTCTCTGCCTTAGCTGAATATTACTATATGAAATACTATTGTAATCATTACAGCTGTGTCTCTGTTTATTACAAAAGATAGTGTCTTCTGATCATTTGTCATTATACGTTATAGTACAGACGAATCAGATGGGTTTATTCCTGCTAATGAATTGCTGTTTCCACACCATTTAATAGCTTAATCCCTCTTCTATAGTTACATATGCTTGGAGAGTTTTTTCCTTGCTTGTTTGTCTGTTTATTCTTTATGAGGCTAAATTCATGCTTATGTGGATGTTGGTAATAGAATTTTACAAGTCTGTTCATTTTGCTCGTGGTCGAAAGTTTTGAAATGAAAGTACAAGCAATTAACATGCAAGATGAGCAGAGCTGAAGTTTTCAGGTACGAAGACCAGCAGAGTCATGGTTCACCCGTTCATGCAATATGCATTGGATGTGCCCTGGATAGTATATACTGTTTATAGATATTTAGGCCAGAAATACCTGTTCATATCACCAAATGATGTCAGATGAATAGATTCTAAGATCTAGAAAACAAATCTAGTTGAGTTTGTCCTTTTTCTGCTTCCCAGTAAAGGCTCAAGAACTTTGTGAACTTTCCAAATGCCTACCTAACTGGCATTTGGAAACTACCTAATTGGCCTGCCATTCTAAACTTCTCCTTTTTTTATCAGTCGAGTAAGAAAACAGGTATTTCACTGGATACACCTCATCTCCTCCTCTGCTTGCCCCAAGGCAGTTGCACTCACTGCCTCTTCTCACACCTGTTTCCTGGCTACTGCCTTTTCTTGCACCTGCTGCACTGGTGCACTTCCAAAGCATACTGAGCTTAAACAGCATTACACTGGCATTAAAGGTGACCAAAAAATTCTGACTGGAACAAGCAAATGTGCATTGCAGAAGAAGGCCAAGGCAAAAGTACATCTCTGTTGTCCCAGAGTATTAATGGAATGAACACGGATCAAGGGCAACATATTCCATTGGCTCCATATTCCTTTAGTGAATCTCTTCAAGAGAGATACCTCAGCAGTTGGAAACCACTGACAAAGACAACAATCTGAACCCTGCCTGAATTCATACCCATCCTCAGACTTTTCTGTTTCTGCTGTGGTGCAGGACCCAGACACTTCTGATGAAAAACAGGCAATGTAGGTCAGAGCAGTGGGTGGGTAGGTTTTCTGAAAGTAGTAGGTGGTGCTAAAAGCTAATAGTCTTTTGGTAAGAGCAAGAAAGTTTAATTTGTTATGTATGTCCTCCAATGAATTTTCTTTTGCAGTGTTACTCCCCATCCCCAGAATTACTCTTTTCAAATAGGTTTCTCAAGATGATTTCTCTTTTATTAAAACATACTCTTTACCTTGTGAATATTTGGTGGAATGGCCACTCAAAATTTATAATATTTCTGAGCCAAACATTTGTAATAAGATTAAGGCAATTTTTAGTCTCCTTTTAAAAATCAAACAAGATTCTGAAGCAAACCAATAAGCACCTAGATTTTGTAAATGGACCATAAAAGTTAAGTCAAAATGTGTCTATAATCACATATCACTACTGAGCACCAACAGAAGTTCAGTCTACTGCAGTGGATTTAGCTCATCCATATTTTTTCAGGTTCAGCTTCCTTGCCAGGTTTCTGAACTAGAATTTGTTGAGAAGGGCCACAATTACTGGAAACGTACTCTTGTTAACACACCAATTGCAACCTTTTTCCTCTGTCAACAATTCTAAGATGATGTGGTTGAATATTTTAGAAGAAAAAATACAGCACCTTTTGTGATGCAGGGAAACTGTAAAACAATATAAAGCATGTGTCTCTTAGTAATAAAGGGAAATAGAAAATTGGTTTTTAGCTTTATTTATGTATGATACAAGACATGCTCTGGGATCTTACCTCTGGGGGCAAATCTTATCAGTATTCCTGGGACTGGAAACTGGAAAATATAGGAGTGAGGTGAGCCAAAATCCCCCAAGATCCTCCCTGCCCACCACAGAAATGTTGCCAGCACTGCTGGTTGACAGCACACACAGCTGTACTTCTAACAGGCTTCCTTCTTGATCAAGGATGGAAGGGAAATGTTGCCTTTTTACACACGCAGATAAAGGGACAGAAAACATAGAGATCGCTCTAAGGTGTTGAGGAGTTACCTCTTTACCTTAGAGTTTCAGTTTCTAATTTAAAGGAAGTTTTAGCCTTAATGATTCCTAAGAAAAACGTGGGAACATGACCTGACAGTATTAAATACACCAAGAGTTTACCTGCAGCTCAGACAGACATGCTGCAGTGGGATTGTTGACTAAGGGCTGTACTGCTCTGCAGATCACATTTCCTCCTGGCTATTCAGCAGGTACGGAGGTAACAGGAGTACAGCAGGCCCAGGCCTGGCACTGATCATATGTACCTTGAAATTCTTGCAACTTCCAAAGGCATCTTCCACTCCAGGTGGAAGCACAAATCTTTTGCTGCTATTCTGCGTTTTTGGTAGATGACTCTTGTGTCCTTGCACATGTCCCAGAGCAGGAGTAAGGGTGCAGTATAGGTGGCATAAAGTGCAGGTATGCTTACAGCCACAGACCAGTTGGTTCTGAGAATGCTGGTATTTTTAACATTAATAATTTATGGTTCTTACCCACCAGGATAAGTTTTGCTTTTATTTGAAATTAGGTTCTTTTTGTACTTTGGGGCTTGAAGAACACTTTCCACTGTTCCACTTAAATTAAATCTCAAGCGTGAATGATGTTAGCTGTTTATTTCAGGCATTTAATAATTGTGTTTTTTCCCACCATCAGAAAATTATATTTTACAGCAGGACATAGAGGTTTCGGGACTAAATGTTAAAAGCCAGTCTGGCGGGCAAAGACACTAAGCCTTCTGAAACCAATGGGAAAGAAAAAGCTCTCGCATTCTTCTGATCTGTTGCCAGTTTCATCCATGATTAGCTAAACCTGGAATTAGGGCTAAAAAACATCCATTGTTACTTAGTATTGATTTGAACTCTATCAAAGTGCTTGGAACCCCACAGAACAAAGAAGACAACAGAGTTAATGACAACTCTTAACTAGATGTGTGTTGAACAGCAGGACATCAAAACCAGCTCATTTTGGAAGCTGAAATAATTGGCCTGTGAAGCTTCCTGAGAAACATATAAAGCAAACGTTTACAAAGGTTATTGGATAGTGTCTTGAATTTCATCCTAGGTAGTCTTAAATTAACAAGCCCATAAAATAGGTTTCTTATTTGATCAAAAAGTTAAGATTGTTAAATGACAAATTCTATGGAAAGTACCTATTAAAAGAAAAAGGAAACATTTGTCACTGGTAGGGCTTTATATCTGATATGCTCTAAAATGAAAATGTAGGCAGACATCAAGTATTATGTAAAAGCAATTATTTTAAATGATCTTACTACTTATGAGAAAAATCCATAAAGTAATCCCTGGCAGATAGAAGAGGAAACAATACAAACACTTCTGTGAGGGGGCTCACCACAGGCAGACCTGCAGCATCCAGTCCAGACAAGTTGTATTACCTTCCTCCCAAAGGCCAGCAAGGTGCTTTAGCAGGTAATACAGTGGTCTGAGAGACCTGAAAATGGCTGTTTAGCGGATTGTGTGGAAGACAGTCAGGAGCAGGACAGACAATATGCTGGCACTGGCAGTTCACTCTCTCTTCTCATACAAGAGGAGGGGTGGCCACAATTGGAGCTCACAGACCTTGGCTTCGACACATGCCAAGAGGGTGCTTCCTAAAGATGGCACTAGACCTGCAGTACTCCTTGGCAAAGCCTGGGATTGATGTGGGTTCACAGAGAATGGGGAAATTAATGGTACAACAATCTACCAAGGATGGATACAAAAACTTGGGGGGATGAGGCAAAAAAAAAAATCACAAGGCATTCAGTTGAGGATGCATCTGGTTGGAAGCTGGAAAAATATCTGGGAAAATATTCACAGAATCAGAGAAAAGCTTGGGTTGGAAGGGACCTTAAGGATGATCCAGTTTCAACCCCTCTGTCATAGGCAGAGACACCTTTCACTTCGACCAGGTTGCTCAGAGCCCCATCCAACCAGCCTTGAACCCTTCCAGGGATTTGGCATCCACAGCTTCTCTGAGCAACCTGTTCCAAAACTTCCATACCCTATAAGGAAGAAATTTCTTCCTAGCATCTATCTAAATCTCACCTCTCTTAGTTCAAAACTGTTCTCCCTTCTTCCATCACTATCTGTACATGTAAAAAGTTGCTCTCCCCCTTTTTTTTAATCGTCTTTAGGTACTGGAAGGTGCTGTGAGGTTTCCCTGGAGCCTTCTGCAGGTTGAACAGCCCCAACTCTCTCAGCCTGTCTTCACAGGATAGTTGTTCCATCCCCGTGATCACTTTTGTGATGATAAGCTTGTGGAATTCTCACTTGTTTCCTTGGTACCTGCTCATAGTCACTTTTGGAAACAAGGTACTAGTTCAAAAATATTTTTGGTATCCTTATGTCTGTTCCATTACACTGTTATTCACTCTAGTTGAGTAGCTTATAGTTTCCCAAGTGGTTCAAGGTACTGTAGCTAGCCAAGCTCCATTTCTCTGAAAGAAAAAAAGAAAAAAAAATCCCCAGTGAGGAAGCAGACCTTGACAGTCAGCTGGGCTAAAGGCCAGGGTACCTCACTAAGTACCCAGCAGCATTTGCTGTCATTTAAAAAAATGTCCAGGTCAGGTAACGCTTTATACAAGTATGTGGGAGTCAGGGGGGTGCATAAGAGTTTTCTGAGACTCTGATTTATTATCCAGTTTGGGAGTGTCACACCATGTTTTATTTTCAGGAGCTAACAGGCTGCCAGCTGTTCTCTGACCTGAAAGGCAATGCAAAGATAGATTCACTCCCCAAAGTGACCGAACTAACTTGACACAATGGAGACCATTTTGCTAAATTAGTCACACATTTCCTACAAACATCTCCCTTAAAACCTCGTTAAGGAGAAGGCGCGCTGGGGTTATACCGAAGCACAAGGCTAGTACGCGCTGTTTCAGGGCAGCCCGGCCGGCACAAGCCGCGCACCACGGGCTCAGCACAGCACGGCGGGAGGCGGTGGCCCCGCCCGCAGGCCCGCCCCTTCCTGCGCCGCGGCCGCGGCGGCCCCGCTCTCCGGCGGGACCCGCACGGGTTTTGCCCGCTCCCCGCCCGGGCAGCGTGCGGGCCATGCTGCGCGGGGCTGCGGCAGCGGCCCGGCGGTGCCGCCTCGGCTTCGCTCCCGGTCCCGGTGCGGGTACCGGCCGGGGGCAGGCGGGGGCGCGGCGGTGCTCGGGCGCGGCGCGGCGGCGGCAGTGGGTGCCTCCGGCGGGGTGCGACAGCGGGATCGTGGCTTACAACAGCCGGAGCCGGAGCAAGGAGCCGCTCGTGCTGGCCACGGAAGGAGTGGCGACCTGGTAGCGCCTTGCTGCTCGGCGGGCGGGCGTGGGGGTGGCGAGGTGACAGGAGCGGTTTGTGTCCGGAAACAGCTCCTGTGACCAGTTCTGGGCTCCGGTACACGAAAGCCGTGGAGCTACTGGAAGAGGTCTAGGGAAGGGTCACAAAGGTCAGTAGGGGACCGGAGCATCGCTCTTGAGAGGAGAGACTGCAAGAGCCGGGCCTGTTTAGTCTGGAGAAGACTGGGAGGGGATCTCATCAATACATATAAATATCTCAAAGATGGGTGCCAAGAAGATAGTGCTAGGCTCCTTTTGGCATTGTTCAGCGACAGGACGAGGAATAGTGGCCGTAAACTAAAACATACGAAGTTTCATATGAACATGAGGAAGAACTTTACGTTGAAGGTGGCAGAGCACTGAACAGGCTGTCCAGGGGGCTCCTCTGGAAACATTCAGAACTCATCTGGACACATTTCTGTGTCACCTGCTGTAGGTGCCCTGTCTTGAGAGTGGTTTGGACTGTGTGATCTTCCAACCCTAACAATTCTCTGATTCTTTTTGCCTCCCCTCTCTGCAGGTACAGCTGTGGGCCGACCGTATATGACCATGCACACCTCGGGCACGCCTGGTGAGTCGTGGATTGCAGCGTGGAAGCATCCAGACAGAAAAATAGTGCTGGACATCCCCATGCCAGTGGTGCCGAGGGATCCAGGCAGATATACAGTGCTGGACATCCCCAGGCTGCAGTGTGTGTCCGGGTGACAGAGCTGTGACTGGTGACTCGAGGCCCAGCCCTTTGCCTCCTGTGCTGTGCAAAGGGCAAAAGTCTGTTTGTTACGTATTTTTTTCTCTTGGGCTGGGGTAGTTCGTAAAGGGGCTGTTGGTTCTGCTGCCTGGCTGAGACACAGAGTGCATGTCTGTGTCTTGGGAAGAAGCATTAGGAATGTGTGCAGTTTGTTTGTTAGGGTGAGTTGTTTCAAATTCTATCAGCACAACGTGACCTCTCGTGTGGAGGAGTTATGATCCTGGAGCAGAGACTCTCATCTGTGTGAAAAGATAGCTTTACCTCAGGTTTAGTTCAGACTCTCTGCTGGCACCAAGGAAACACCATGCAGGATTGGTTAATAGAAAGGTACTTTCAAGATTTGCAGATGAGCACATCAGATCTTAGATCTCAGAAAGTCCAGGTAGCTTAAAGGCCTCTTTGTATAGTAACGCTGCAGTGGCTTACTATGTTTAAAAATAAAAAGCCAATCCAGAGCAGCACAGGTTTTTCTCTGTTGTTCATTAGGATTCTTAGAACAATAAGATAGCTTCATTATAAGTGACTTTAAAAAAGTATGTTAAATACACCAGAGGAGGTTGCTGCCACTCGTTTCAAAACAGCATACCTGATGAGTAGACATACAGGATGTCTGCTGTTCCTGTGAAACTGAGGGCAGTTGCAGCAGCTCATGCTGCTCTTAAGGTTCTGTCTTTGCATTCTTAAAAAGCAGGTTGTTTTTGGCTCTTTGGAAGAGCAGGGGTTTATCAGATAATTGCCATCTATATGAAGATCAGATAGGGTGCATTTCAGTAACTGATTAATTCCCTTTCAATGTAAGGGATTTCACAGCTTCTTGTCCTGTCTCAACTTCTTTCAGAAACTTGTGTTGAATCTTGCTTGTGTGGAACTGAGCCATCGCAGTAACTGCACAACTACTGCTTTGCTTTGTAAAAAGGAAGACTTAAAATACCAGTTATGTAAAAGTACTGTTGTCAGTGCTAATGTTAATGCTTCTGTACTGTTGTGTATATGTGGTGGTTTCTTTTCCTCCTTGCTTTTCTCAAGTCTTAGCAGAAAACTGATCCAGCTTTTTACTGGTGATCTAAGAATCAAGAAGATTATATCTTGGACTTTTTGTTTGTGTTTCAGGGGAATTTTTTTTGGAAAGTCATAGTAATTTGTGTATTTAAATCTACAGCTGTTGTGATAAAGGCTCCATTACAGTTTACCTTGAAATAATTATGATTAAAATCATCACTTGAAAGTAGCTATATAAAAGAGATGGCTATAAATTTCTTGTCTTTATCCCTCAGTTGAGGTTCTCTAGTGTGGTAGGGCCTGTCTTCCCTGACATGGTGTAATAGGGAATTGCGGAGGTGCTTCTGTCCTAAGGGGTATAGTTGATCTAGACCACAATGTTTTGTAGAGGTGGAGAATTTCACCCTTTGGTCTTGCAGCTCTCTGTAGCTTTTAAATGTCTGTTTTTTCAGTGGTTCTCTTGCCTTCAGACTTTTTTGATTAAAAGAGGGAGTAGAAAGGCCTTGCTTACACTTGCCTGTTTTTTTACCCATCTTTTCTTATCCATGTCTAAACTAGAAATTTTAAGCTTTCCCGTTGAGGTTTGCCATACATCTGTGTCACCCGTGTTTGACTTCTTAATTGCTGATTTAAGGAAGAATGGTAAGTGCTGAATATTGCCTTTGGCGTATCATGCAGATACACCAGGTATAATTAATTCTTTTAGCACCTCTTTAAGCACCTTCTCGTGTGGTTCGTGTTGTGTGACAAGGTCTCTGCACTGAAGACTTTTGCTCTCTTCTCATCAGTTAAACCCTCCAGTGTGGGAGGAGTTGGCTGTTTCTTTGCAGTATCTCTGGTCTTACACATGTCAGTGTTGACATCCTGTTGCTCAGCTGATTTGTTCAGGATGGTCCTATTTATTTATTTATTTTAAAAAATTGTATCTTTTTTTTCCCAGAGCTAGGTCCAACCATAGAACAGCTGAAATGTATGCTGCTTGCTGTTGAGGGCCAGGAGATGCACTGGAAAATAGCATAAAGTCAAATGGAGTGGTGTTGTTGCTACTCTGCTGCTCTTCTTAAATACCATCATTTTGTTGTACTCCTGCCACATGTTCTCTTCTCACTAGAATTCCCTTTTTTCCCCCCTCTGTCTTACATTTTAGTTGTGTCAAACGCAGCAAATGCAGCAGGTAATAAAGCAGAAATGGATCATGGATATGAGTTTGAGATCCTTGAGGAGAATTTGGAAATAATGGCATTATTTTTCTCCTGTCCTCTTTCCATTCCACAAGGAGTTCTTATTTCTCTAAATAATTTAACATTCTCTAGTATGTTGTGCTTCCTGTCTTAAAAACAGATGCTCTGTCTGCCTCTATATGATATCCAACACCCATTCTGTGTAGAGAAAAATGTAAGACAGGCAAATAATGCTATTTTTTTCCCCAGTTCTGGTTCTGACCTTGATTGTTCTGGTTTGACCTGCAGCCTACTTAGCATCCAGGTTCCTAAACGCTTTGAAGTAAGAGTAAAACCAAGCTCGAGAGATTTCTCTTGTGCGTGCTTTGTTACCCCCTAATCTTGACTGTCCATTTGTTTTGGCTTTTTTTTAAAATCAGTCCTGAACTGGTAAAGACCCTGCTTTCTGAGGTATAGGAAATCTACTCTGGTTCTTGCAGAGTTTCTTCCATTAATTCAGTTGGAAGATGAGAGGAGAAGGAACAGTGTGAAATTTGTGCCTGCTCTGGGAACAGTGACTGCAGGGCTGTTCAATCTAATATCAAGCTTTTGATGCTGGCGTTGTTCCTCTGAACAAGATCCAAAGATCAATTTAATATTCTTATGGAATTGTGTCACCACATTTGATGAACCTTACTCCCAGTGAGCTGCTATTCATTAAAAACTATCTCCCTGGCAGCAAGGCTTTCAAAAAGTCTTTTTTTTAGCATGAGCACAGCGCAAACAACAACAAAAAGTATTTTTCTTCATCGAGATATTATGCATCCGTAAATCAGTACCTTAGTGCTACCTGGCACCTGCAGGGAATGATGCAAATCCATTTCTGGTAGCTGCTTTCTCTTCTTTGTTCTGATGGCCATGGGAGTTGCAGTTTGTGTGATGCTGTAGGTAAAATGGGAACCTGTAGGTCTGTCCATCTCCTTGTGGCTTTGGAGAAAACAGAGCCCAGAACGGCTGAGGATTCTCATCATCCTGCTGGGCAGACCCAGAGGTTTTAGTTACTTTCTAGTATTTCACCTTGTAATTGGGTTTAACTCAAAGTGTTTTGAGAATTAAAAATGGAGAGTCTGTGAGCAGAAGCAGCTACAACAGCTCTATACAGCTTTTACATCCATCAATCTATCAGCATTAAATACTCTCTACTTTGTGACAAAAGCCCTGAATAATTTTCACAATAACTTATATTCTCAAGTGTAAATAAAATAACCTATAGAGCATCTACTCTTTGCTATCAGAAAAGATCTGTGGTGGTGTGTGAATTAAGAACTTTATTGGTGGCTGGTATCTGTTGTTACTCAATCCTAAGAAAAGGTCACTTGAATCCTGCTTTATTCTCCCTGTTCTTCTGTGGCACGACTTTTGAAAACGTGTCAGGATATGCTAAGCCCAAGGGATGTATTTCAAGAACATCTGATCTCTGTGTCTTATTTTGTCCTGTTGGCTTTGAAAGAGTCTCCTGGCTCATGTAGCTTGTGATGCCCTTTGAATAAAGAGATGCAACAAAAGAAAGCACTCAGAAAATTTGATGTAATGTGTCACTAATGCCAGAAGAGGGTAGGCCAGTTCAAGAGAAATTTGCTTGACTTTTGTGCAGGTAGCAAAAGGTTTTGGAAAAAACACCTTCTGCACTGAAGATCTTTTCATTGCAAGTGTTGGGGTAATTAGATTGTCCCTGTGGCTGATGGTTATTTTTGTTTAAGTTTATTCTTACTACTATATGTTCAAAAGCTCACGTTTCTTTCTCTTCCAGCTCCTATGTTAGGTTTGATATAATTCGAAGGATAATGACAAGGTTTTTTGGAATTGAAGTTATCATGGTGATGGGGATCACAGACATAGATGACAAGATAATAAAAAGAGCCAATGAGGTAGGTGTTTGTTGCGGTCTTTGACTACCCTTTTGGTATTTTCTAAGCTACTTATATAGCAAAATTAACCTGAGTTTGGGGTTCTTTTGTTGAGTTATGTTTGTTTTAATTAGTAGGTAATAAATATTGAGATTTCTGGTCCCCTAGTGTGGCTGTAATGGATCTGGGGGTGAGGAGGGCTGTGTGGGGGTAATGGGTACAGAGCTGTGTGATGGGGGGGAGACAGAGAGAGGGGCTACCTTACAGCACCCACAGCTGGGATTCTCCTGCTCCCTCCCCCTGCCCGAGAGGCTAGCAGGGAACAAACGTCCTACGTGATTCCTCAGCACAGTGAAATGATCCCAAAACTTAACAGCCAGAAGGGTTCTGTGAGTTCTGGAGAAGTGCTGTGTGCCTTGATCACAGGCAGTACGTACAGCACTGCCACGTGGGGCTAAGGGCAGTTCCTGGAAGGTGCCGAGCACCATCTAGCTGCAATGTCAGCACCTTGGAAAGCTTTATCTGGCCTGTGTTTATCACCTACAGGAAAGTTAACGTTTTGTGTTAGGGTAAGTCTTGATAGGACTGGCAGTAAGTGATTCTCAGCTGAATTTTAATCTGACCTTTTTTACCAGATAAGCTTGATGAATGATTATTGCAATTCTATTTTTTGAAATTATTTTAAAAACGCTTTTTGAACCCTGAAGTACTAAGAATGTATTCTGTGTTTTATTCTGCATTTTGAGTCTTTTTGTTGCATTTGATTTTAGAATCTGTAACTCATGTCTTCGGGATCATAAGTGAATGTGTTGGATTGAATTGCAGTTGCAAGTTTTAAGATAGTTTCTTGGAGCCAGAGAATTTGACAGCTGTTCCTTTTACTTATCTTTAAGTAAACAGTTACTTTCACAGTTAAATATAGGCCCCTGCATTCAAATGAATACTAGCACACAACTCATATAGAATATGTCTGTTCCCTAGTCCATTAACTTGCAGTTTTATAAGGCAGTAAAGAATTCTAGAACAACCCCCCACCAAAATGCAGGCATTTTAAATCTATGTTTGCATTTTAAAACGTTTCCTTATTATCAGAACATCTTAGAGATTTTATATTTGAGGCGAGGAAAACGACATGTTCTTAAAAGATGTGTTGCTTTACTACATTCTTTGGTTCTGTGAAGTCATCTTGGCTTTGTTTTTGTGACTTTTTGAAATGTTTGCTCAGCCATTTTGTTTGGATGGCCAAGGCCTCTACCTCAGTAGCCTGCTTTTGTTGTTGGAACCTGTGCACCTGAAGCATTACAGTGGTAGAATCAAAATGCCTGAGCTTGTTCTTCATGCCCTGCTGGGGTTCATCTGGGAGGAACCTGAAAGTTGCATACTAGCTTATCACGAACCAGATGCATGCCATCAGTGGTTCTTTGAGAGAGAGATGAGTCTCTTTGTGTGTTGAACATCCATCTGGATGGGAGGAAATTCCTCATCTTCTTTCTCTAGGCACCTTTGTTTCTGTCTTGATCAAAGAAGGAGCTGAGCTGTCTAGGGAGATGAATCCACTCACTGGTCTGTAGGCAGAAGCATGTCTTTGTTTTTCTGAGCATCATCCTCATTTCATTGATGCATAAACATCTGGACTGTCTTCACCAGAACTCCTGCTTTGTCCAGGAGTTTGTACAAACAGTGATACCCACCTGCTCTCTCAAAGTCGGAACCCATAAAGATGCTCTAGTAATGAACTGGAAATGATGAAATGGGGTTTATGTTGTTAATGATTCACTTACCTGCAAGATGGAGAGACTGACAGTATGTTGTCTTCTCCTCAGTAGTTTGTTCTCAGGGAAAATGTAAAAGCATGCATTTGTAACGCTTTGATGCCATGCTGTTGCTTGCTAGGGCAGGTTTTGCTGTCATGCATATTTCAGTCCCTGGCCTCTTCTGAATATATGAGAACAAGTACCTAACAATGTGCAAGTACCTTTCTTTTTGGGTTGCATTTTCTCATTGCCTCTGCAAGAGGAACCTGTTCATGTCCCATGAATGAGAAATGCAGAGAAGGTGCTTGAGAAACACTGGACTTGGCAAAGCGTGGAACTGCTTTTCAACATTGAGATCTATGAGTACCCATAATCTTCAGAAATAGCTTATTTTTCTTAATTACTGAAAATTAATATCCTGTCTCATCCTGCAAGTCTCTGATCTGTCTTTCTGACACGTAGGTGGTATTGGTGTTTCCTGCCAGTAAGCTGAATAGTTTTTATGTCCTCTGTATGGTAGTGCATTTTGTCACTGGAAATGAAGGACCCTCTCAAGAGGAGAAAAATAAGAGAGAGAAGGAGTTTATTATTTTAGTCTTTGGTTGCTTTCTCTTAAAAGAGATATATTAATATTTTGAAAATTGAGACACATAAATGAAATACTACTTCTAAGTTATTTATAACTTACATCTCCTCCCTGTCAATGTTAGATTAATAAGTCTTTCTGACTCTTTACCTTGGGGGCTCTCTAAGTCTTCCAATTAGCTATTAGCTGTCTGAGAAAAGATTGCCGTATTTTATGTCATTACTCTGATTTATGATTTGCTAATCTGCTTCTCTTTTTTTCAGATGAATATATCGCCAGTAGCTCTTGCTCGTATTTATGAAGAAGACTTTAAACAAGATATGGCTGCCTTAAAGGTACAAATACTCAAGATTCTAAATTTAAGGGTATTTCTAAGCAATTATTTTGGTAAAGAATCAGGTTTTGAGAGTTTGAGCTGAAAAAATAAATTTGTTGCTTGGAAACTGGGTGCTGATTTACTTTTTCATTCTTCTGGAATGATATTGCACGCATTTTGAGTAAGGAAATGTGGGGAGAAGCAATCCTGAGCTTTGGAATGAACAAGTTAATTTTCTGTAGGAGCAGTTTTTTTCATATTCAGTAGATCCTTGATTCACAGATATTGCATATTTACTATAATGCAGAAGTAGTCTGATTGAAAGCACAGGAAACACAGAATCTTTCATTGAGTTCAGATGACTTTGCTTCTTGTCTCCCTGTCAGAAGCAGGGAGTGAGCCACTGGGGAAAATCAGGGGGTTTTTTTGCCACCCCTAAAAATATTTTTTCTGTATGTGCATTCTTAAATGTTACTCAGTAAATTTTTATGATGCCTGAAACTTTCTTTGAAGATAAAATTGAGAGGAATGTTCTTTTAGTTTGTTTCTTAGAGTGAAGGAACTCATTGGCAGTGTGCTAATGAGACGTTACTTTTTCTTTAAGGTCCTTCCTCCTATGGTATATATGAGGGTGACTGACAATATTCCTCAAATAATTTCCTTTATAAAAACAATAATTTCCAGTGGACAAGCTTATGCAACCTCGCAAGGTAAGACTTTGACAAAGGTAACTCCTTGTTCAGCAGATGCATAGGAAGCCTCTGCTCTTAGTAATCCTGTTTTGGAATCAGATGAGATACCCTGTGCCAGGCTTTCCTTCTGTTGCTTAACAGGGTGTGAGTGAATTGTTTGTGATGACATGAGTGGGCAGAACAACTATTACTCAATTTCTAAGTTAAACGTAGCTCATTAGTTAATATAATTGTTTACTGTAATAAGCTGCTGTCTGAACTCCTTGGGGAAATCCTGGACTGGTTTCTACAAGAAAGCTGGAGGAACCTCTGAAGAGGAGCTATGTATCTCCTATCTGCTGTAAAAGATGTGTCTGCAAAGCAAAATGTGTGGTTTTCCTTTTTAGCAGAACTGGTGGTTATAAAAGAATACAAGTGCATTGTAACTGGACGAGGTGTAGCTTGAGCTGCAGTCAGGGAGGGGATTGCTGATTGTGCATGGGCAAGGAAGAACCTGGGAGATCTCCAGAATTCAAAGTTATGCTGTGGGTACAATGAACATGTGCACAGAGGTTACTGAAAAGCTGGGTAATATAGAAACATCTGCTGCTACTTTTGCAGTATTTCTGAATTGCTAAATCAGAATTTCAAATGGGAGTGGAAGGGCACTTTGTTTTACTTTCAGAGAAATGTTACCAAGTTCTTATCAATGTGCCTCATCTTTGCTATACAATTAAACATTTCTTTTGTATTAGGCAATGTTTATTTTGATGTTAAATCCTGGGGAAAAAGATACGGAGTGTTAACTGCTATTAACCCTGATACCCAAGATGAAGCAGGTAAGTTGGTGGCACCAGCTTGTTTTTGTTAATGCACTGTTTGAATGCGTTTGGCATCTGTGTGCAAACTTTCATTCAACAGTCTGAAACAGTTTTATAACCCGTTGTGTATAGCTAACTTTCTGGTTAATTAAGATTACAGTGCTTTATTTGTTATTTTTTGAAGCACTTACTGTTGCCAGTGCGGGAGGAAACGTAGTTTTTCTTCCTTTCATCCTTCCCTCTATACTTTTGTTCTGGTACCTTAGAACAATTAGGATTCTTAAGCAATTTTAATTAAATACTTGGCAGTAGTACATAGAAACTTCACAGTGAGATGGTGTTCTTGCTGTTACGCTAGCTAGCATTGAGGTACTCAAGGGCAAACACAAGGAAACCTCACCTACTGTGTTATTGTTGGGGCAGCTGCACCGTTCTGAAGTTAACTGGATGAATTGCTTCCTTCATTACCTGTCACTGGGCTAAGCAGTCTCTTTGTGGGAGGGTGAGCAATCTCTTCGTAGGCTGTGCTAGAGGGGGCCTGTACCCTGGGCTGTGGGGAGGTTGCTGCAGTTCCTGCTTTGCAGGATTGCTGAACCTCTCTGGAGTTTCTGTAAGCATCTGATTGGGTCTTTGTGTCAGAGAATTTGATGCATGTCTCCTGCATCCTTTTGCAAACTAAAGTTCAGTATTTCATCATTTAAAACAATCTGTTTGTAATTACTGAAAATGCCTTGGAGGCTGATGCTCAGGTGCAGCTAGAATTTCTCCCAGTTCTGCTTGGGAGTTGTTTCAGCATTACAGCTTACAGAGGGATGCATCTTGTCAACGGTTATTTAGAGGTAATTACTGACTGCAGAGAGCCAGCAGCCTTCTGGGCTGCACAGGGAAGAAGGTTATAGAGGTGATCCTTCTCTGATCTGCTTGCCAGCAAGCCAGTGGAGTTGATCCTTCTCTGCTCAGCACTGGTGAGACATGCTTGGAATACAGGTCTGATGCTGGGCTCCCCAGAGCAGCAGTGGTGTGGACATTGTGGAGAAAGGCCAGCAAAGGGCCACAAATATGATGGAGGTACTGGAGCATCTTTCATATGAGGAAAAGCAGACGGAGTGTGGACCCCTCAGTCTGGAAAAGAGAAGGCTCAGGGGAATCCTACCCCTGTGTAGTCATACTGATGGAGTATGGAGTAGAGCAGATGGAGCCAGGCTTTTCTCAGTGGACAAGAGGCACTAATCATAACTTGAAACATGGGAAATTCCATTTAAAGCTAAGAAAAATCTTTCTTACCCTGATGATGGTTAACACAAACCATGTTGCTCAGAGAGGCTGTGGAGTCTCCATCCTTGGTGATAATCAAAGCCTGACTGGCCATCCTGGGCAGCCTGCTGTAGCTGCATGTGCTCTGAGCAGGGAGTTGGATTAGACTGTCCCCAGATGTGCCTTCTAGCCTCAGTTGTGACTGCTTCCCCTGCTTCCCCTCTAGTCACATCTAAGTGTGTTCTTATTTCTAAAGATTTTGACTTGTTTTGCTTATGACTGAGAAGTTGAAGAGTGCTCTTTTGTAGCAATATACTCAAAAAAGGGCAAAAGAGGGTTGGAGTCAGGAGATACTGGTCAGTCAGAACTTGGCAATCTAGTGAAAGAGCCCAGGTGAAGATTTAGTGGATAAAACTAGGGTTATATTTCTGTCTCTTCAGTTCTTAGGAATTTTGAGTTGTATCATTCTAAATGTGTGGTCATGTATTTGTCAGAAAGAAAGTCCAGAGTCCAGAACCCTGTTCTGTGGTTCCTGCCAGGGAGTGCTGTGTATTTGACTGGAGGTTAGGAGTCAGCAGAGATGAAGAGTCCTGCAGTATTGTGACAAAAAGGACTGCATCCTTGGCAATATAGTGAAGGAATGAACAAATATAGCTGGGAGGAAACCTTTGTAGGGAACTCATAGGTGAAAACGGTAATGAAAAATTGCTACTGTCCAAGAATAGTTTTGATTCTTACCTTTGTGTGCTTTGTTTTACAGAATCTAAACCATAAAGTACTTGTGTCCCAGAGAAGAAAATTATGGGGTGTTTGTTTGTGTGTTTGTGTGTTTTGGTTTCGTTTTATTACCATTTTTCCTGCAGTGCAGTCAGTTTGTCCTGGGGGAGCTGCCTGATATGTAACTAAATTAATGAAAAGTCAGGCAACCAGGGAAGGATAAAAGGACTGATAGGACAGGATAGAATATGTTAAGGAATCTTGAATTCATTTTTGTAGCTTGTTGGAATGTATTTCAGTATTCCAATATTTAAATATTTCACTTTTCCCCTGTGTGAGGGGGATGAGAGGGAAGTTGTAGTGAAAAGAAGTTGATTAAAGGTGATTAAAATCAGAGTAGTTCACTAAACACACATTTCCTTTTGCTTTCATTTGGTCGGTTTTTTTTCTTTGAGACATATCCCATTAACAAATCACTTATTCTTGCCAGTTGATTCTGATAAACGACATGGTAAAGATTTTGCCCTGTGGAAGGCTGCCAAGCCTCAAGAGCTATCTTGGAATTCTCCCTGGGGAAAAGGACGACCTGGATGGCACATTGAATGTTCCACAATATCAAGGTCAGATTTCTTGGATTTTGATAAATCTAGTGCTATTTTTTGTTTTCAGTCACAGTAGAATGGTAGCAGCAGTATTGAAAGTGTTTTCTGATCGATAGATAGCACTGGTTTTAATGTGACCATTTTATGCAACTTGGGATGTCACTTGTGGCCCAGATAAACTCTGCTTCACCTTTCTGTCACAGCTGTCTCTATGTTTTGACACCTTCTCTTGAGTTAGACTTGGTGCTTAAAATATGGCACATGGGATCACACTGTTGATTAGCAGTCTTTTAACTTGAACTGAGTAACTCAAGGTCTGGTGAAAGGTATGATAGCTCTTCAATTTGCTTTCCTTCCACTTCTAACAGTCTCCATCAGACCTAGTTCAGGATGTAGGTGTCAGGAGGACAGGGTGTATTTCTGGCCTTATCTTAACAGCAGCTGTGGATGTTCATGCTAATAATCTAAGTGTTATTCAGCTTTCTTGCTGAGTAGTGTTCTGCTTGCAGTTGGTTTGATGTAATTTGCTCTTAATTTAAAGTTTTATTTTCACCACAGGAGAAAAAGTCTTCACTCCTGGAAGATTGATAGTGTACTTAGTTTTGCATTAGTCTCAGATCTTTTTTTGGAAGCTAATAACAAATAATTTAGATCTGACCTTGTTGAGCTTAAATTTTCAGCTAAAGCTGAAAGGAGGTGGAACCAGCTACTTTAGGTTTCTCTTTCATATGCTTTTCTTGTGCACCTGCAATTGTTAGTCATTTCTGCCTACTTGTGAAAAGTGTTTATAAGGGTGATTTTCTGTCTGTAAATAGTTTCAGCATAGTGAGGCAGCTCTTAAAGCAATCAAAGTGCACAAAATCATGCTGTGTTTGATGTACAGGCTCTGACAGAAGTGCACAGATAAGAAATGCCAGTTATGACATGGCCTGTCTGCTAATGCAGTACTGTTTATAGACTGCATTTCTTTCTGTAAAAATGTATTTTACTGAGACTGGATGAGGCTCCTGCCATATCAATAAAAGCAGACCCATGGAGAGCATAAGTGTAGTAATCTTGGACTGTGAAAAATGGAGAGCTTACTTTGGTAAGTGACCTAAAACAATTTGCTGTCCCAGTCAGCTGTTGAAGGCCCATTTTTAGGCAATATTTACTTAGCTGTCTGTCTTGCCAAGTATGTCAAAGCACTTTAACAGAGTTAGGTGAATTAATTTTGAGAAGTCTGTGAATGTGGAGTCTTTGGTCTCTAGAGCAGCCCTGGAGGAGGGAATCCCCTGCTTTGACCCCCTCAGGTCTGATCTCTCTGCATTTTCCCTTGTGGTGAGGTGGGCAGTTCCTCCTGTCCCTGTGCATTGCGCAGATCCAGCTCTCACCTCTCTTCAGCTCTCAGTGGTTTTGTTGGAGGAAACAGCAAGTGCTCCTCCGTAGGTGGCACAAGGGAAGGTGAGGGTCAGTCCTGGGAAGATTTGTGCTTTAGCTGGTCTTGAAGCAGGCAGGAACAGAGAAGGATGAACCTGGGAGATGGTGACACCTGCTCTTTCTTCCCTTCTCTCTTCTCCTCCTTGTCTTTTTCTCCTGTGCACCAACAGCTTCTGCAAAGCCCTCATGTGGCACAGTGTTAGCAGGGTGTTTTGTCTCTAAAAGGGACCAAAGTATTAATGTTTAGCCAGCTACCAGGAGCACCTTGTTAAGGTGATGTATGGGAAGCCTTTGTGTTTGTAGGCTTGCATCTTTCCCTGCTTGAGCACTCCTGGTTTCTGAGTAGTTAAGGTTGACTTACATCCCTGTGAGGCTGTAAGTATAATCCTTGTTTAACAGATAGGCAAAATAAAGTTGCTAACCTGGCCAGCTTGACCTGACTGCACACACTATTGTCTGAATTCTTATAGAAAAGGTACAAGATAAGGAAGAGTAATACCAAATTTATAGAAATAAGTTGTTAGGTTTGCACATAAAGGCACCTGCCTGATACTGAAACTGTAGCAGAACAAGGAAAGGAGACATCCTGCTTGTTGTCCTTTAAACTAAGGTAGAAAAATAATTGCTTCTACTAAGGAGAAGTGATTGTGAACAGGTACGAGTGCTGTCCATGCAAGTTCTGCTGCAGTTTTGGTATCCAAGATATGTGTAAAGTCTTGTTTTAGAACTGCAGTTACTAAATTGTGCACTTAAATTTATGTTGTTTCTTATCTGCATTTCTTTTTACAAAAAGTTTTTTGTGGTGTTCTACTTACTGATCAGGAAAATATTGTTACAGTGCAGTGTTTGGAAAGCAGTTGGACATCCACACCGGTGGAATAGATCTTGCATTTCCACATCATGAAAATGAAATTGCACAGTGTGAGGTGTATCATCAGTGTGAGCAATGGGGGAATTACTTTTTGCATTCTGGTAAGTAAAATACTGATCTTGAGATCAGGCTTCTTGAGAGGCTTATACGAATACAATATTTTGGGATTTTAAGTTTGGCATTTCATGCTATGAAAACACATTACATTGACTGGCATTATGTAGAACTGCTCTTTGTTCCCTCTGCATACAAGTGCTTCATTCAGTGAAGTTTGTGCTGTTCAGTGCCTTGAGCTACATGACTGATGGCTCTAGTGCTGTTCCCATTGATGGAAACCTTGACATTTGTTCTTCCTGTTGCAGTTGTGGTGGTTCTGGATGGACAGCTGAAATCAATAGAAAGTCAGATTCAAGTCTGCAGCCTCCCTTTTCTTGATTAGTATTTTGGGCAGGATGTCTTTGTGAACTCTTGGAGCTGCTTCTCTGGATAGAAGAGCTGCAGAGTTAAGCCTGTGGTATACTCTGGGAAGTACATGAGCTTTCATTTTTATATATTTGTACTGTATGGAATGAATATTGAATTCTAGTTTCAGTTCCCAGTGTAGAGCCTGTTGTAAATCAATAGCAGTTGTCCAGAGGCTGGTGCATCCTCCAGGGTGTGCTTTGTTCCCAAGGCACTGTGGAATCCTCTGCACTTTCACTGAGATGCACTGGTTACTGCCAAGTGGAGCCTTCTGCTGACAAACTGGTGAATCTGGCTTTTCAAACTTGGAACTGAAACTGTAGGGGAAATATTTTTTGATACCAGCTAAATAAAGAGGAGTCAGTTAAGGAAAAAAAAGGGAGAACTTAATTCCAAGGGCAATTTGTACACTGAGGTTCTCTAGGAGCTGACAGATTACATTCATTAAGTCAAAAAGTCTTGCTGGAGGATGATGGTGTGAATTATTTAGGGCAAATGAATCAGCTTCAGAAACAATTTATTCTGCTAGCAGACTTCAGAATTTTAGCAGCTCGGAATTGGAGGAGCAATCCCCATTAGAGGAAGAAAATCCCTGCACTGGGGATAAATCTTATAAGGACTCTATTTTTAGACTACTTGTACTCTGGGAAGAGCGCCAAACCAAAGTTATGAAAATCTTTGTATTTTGTATTCTTGAATGAAATCATTCTAAGTACTGACACTCTTGGAAGAGGAATATTAATTCAAATTCAGATGTTACCAGTACCTTTTTAGGAAAGCACAATCCAACTATTTTAAGCTTGTCTGCCTGAAGTTAAGTAAACCAGTATTTAGGCACCTTTGCAAAAGAGGAAAAGTAATCTTAGCCAGGCTCTTGCCCTTCTCGTAGGAGAATTTTGGCTGTGGGTTTTACTTGAGTCACAAGAGCTGCAGGTGTCCAGCTGTGTCTGACAGCCTGACTATACTTACTGAGTGTCCCAGGTTTAAGGATGCAGAGGTGAAAGTGGCCTCACCTGCTAGCACACAGGTGATACCTCTAAGTTTTAAGTTTTCTGTTCTGTTCTGCTTGGATGTGCTTTTCCGTTGTGCTTGGATGATGAAGACAAACCAGTAGGATTCCACCTAGGGACTCAAGGACAGAATCTTTAAGCTTCAAGCCCTAAGCATAAACAACGTGAAAAGAGGAGGGTGGAGACACAAGCAAGCAAGGAGGATGAAACTTCCCTATTTGAAACTATTAATTGGATAGTTGACTCCTGCATGCAAATGGACTGAAACCTATAAAGGTGTGAGAACTCATGACCAACCCCTCCTTTGCTTCCATCTTGGAGCCACCCAGGCAGGGGCCACGACTGTGGCACTTACATTGCTAGGGTGTGGCTTTTGTAGGCCTTTCATAGGCCTCACAATAAATACACATTTTATTCTCCTCAACACTGTGTGTAGCCTCTGTTCCAGCTCCTCAAGGCATCACAGTACAGACAGTTTAATAAGATTTTTTTATCATGGATAGCTGCTGTAGCTGGTTCTGCATCCATGGATCTTTTGATTCATTCTTACTCTCCATAGAGTATATTGTGCAAAGTGAAATTTCGAGGTCGTCACAGTAGGACTGGAGGGTAGTCTTCTCATGGTGAGTTCCTGCTGCTTTGAATCATTATCAGAAATAGCTGAGAAGTGGAACTATGAGCTTTTCGGGTCCTGTTACCAGGCCTGAGCTTGTTGCTTTCATATCCAGATGAGTATAATGGGGATTTTATCTACTTGTGGGAGCGAGAGGGTTTCAGGCAAGGCTGCAAAGCGGCTCTGTGCAGTGAGTAGCACTAAGTGCAGACAGCTGCATGGATTGCTGAGCAAGAAATGCCACTTCTGTCACCACTCATAAAAGCAGGAGCACGATCAAACATTGTTCTTGGGTAGCACTCTGAGGCATTTGTAACACTGGGCTGCAAGATATGAAAGAATGCAGTGTTGGTAGGGTATTACAGAACAAGAGAAATTTATGCTTAAAAATCTGCCTCAGAGTATGATTAAGTGCTAGATGCTGCAGGTCACAGAAGTGCCTAAAATCCCATGCAAGTTGTGGGTGGTTGGTAACTTATGGAATTACTCTTTCATTAGGAGAAGCTTATTAAGGCTTTTAACAACGTTTCTGAAATTATGCTGAGTACTCATTCAGTAACCAGCATGTTTGCCATCTCTCCTGTGCTGTGAATAATTGGTGTTTTCCATCAGTGGTGCTGCTGTGGCTCACATGGATGAGACCTGGAAGCAGGCAGCCTCAGGCTATACCTCTTGTCTTTCTTTGACAGAGCTTTCAGTCCTAAAGCCAAGCTCTACATAGTCTCTTAAATGCAGTGTTACTGCCTTCTTCCTGTGCTACAGCCCTGCAAAGCAGTGGTCCATGTGACTATTGAAAGTTCTAGCAGTGCTCAGAAATCACATTTTAAAATAATCTAATTCAAATTTGGCATTGTAGCTGCATCCCTCCCTCGTCTTGCTTTTTCTCAGTCTCGCAAGTCTGGAGAAGTTGACAATGTGTAGATAATTCATTTTGCATTTAAGATATTTTGAACCAGTGCTATAAAACTTCTGGGTAAAAAAAAAAGTAATGTTAGGAGCCACTAGCAAGTAATAAGTACAGAAAATTTGAGTTTCAAGGATTTTTTAATGCAAGATCAATGGAAAATATTTCTTATACTACTTCTGATAAGTCAAGAGTAACAGGTAAGGTACTTGCCCTGTGAAGACTGAAGCTATTTGCTTGCTTTGTGTCAGTTTATTGTCAGTTCTGAACCTATGGTGGTGGTGGGTTTTTTGTTTTGTTTTGTTTTGTTTTGTTTTGTTTTAAAATGTTTTAAATGTCTATATTTTAAAATTCACCCAGTGTAAGTTTAGAGGATGGAGAGGTGTGCAGGACTGTAGGCAAACCTATTGAAAAATGTTACCCATTATATTAAAATGTTCAGTGTGTATCCATCATAGCATATGCTGCCTCCAATATTTACAGTGTCTTAGTGCAGTCTTTCTCATTTGCTATTCAGAAGCACTCTTGTTTATCCTGACTAATTCCTTTTTTTTTAATTTCCTTTTTTTTTTTTTACTATAGGGCATTTGCATGTTAAAGGAAGTCAAGAAAAAATGTCAAAGTCATTAAAAAACTACATAACGATTAAGGTAATTTCTTTGTTTGAATTGAAGCAATTTTGTAGTTTTGTAATATGTAAATATTAATCACAACCCTCTTTTGAGAAAACTTTGGAGTGTGTGCTTGTGCTGCAGTGTTTCTCTAGTATCTGATGATATTATGTTGTTGTAGATCTGGGTGTAGGAAACCTGCTCAGATTCATGGTTTGCATATAATGATGGATCTTGCTGAACTGAGAGTGTTTGTAGGAACAGTTTGTGCCCAGTATCAGGATCCTGCACTATAGATTTGTGGTTGGACTTGACAGTCTCAAGAGTTTTTTCCAACCTGAATGATTCTGTTCTGTAGTGATGGGTTTTCATCAGCCTGAAAAAGCACGGACTTGGAAAAGAATGGATGTTTTTCCTTGTCCTCCTTTAGGTGAAATGGACATAGTATTTTATCAGGAAGCTACTGGGTATTTTGAACTACACTTTTGCAGCAGTCTCTCCCATTACCCTTTATTTTTACACAGTGACCTTGGTGATGCACAGAGGCTTTGTCTTTTGATACCCACGAGCCACATGACTGTGTCACATTTCACTGTGTACCCAGGCCTTTGGTGTGGCCCAGAGCAGGGTTTCTCTGCCAACTGTGTGTGATGCAGCTGTGCTTGGTGCTGGGGTGGCTCTCGTGATGGCTGATGCCTTCTGCTGGATTACAGTGATTTCCTTCCTTTAGACAAAGCTTGGGAAGCTGCTTCAGCATATATGTTCCCTTTTGTCCTCTTGGAAGAATTAATTAAAATCCCTTTAAAAAGAAGTTCAGTATGAGCTGCTTTATTCTTAAGTCTTCTGATGCTGTCTGGGTACAGTTAAGCCCTGTTTCCCTGGAGCTCTCAGTTTTCACAGAAATCTCACGAGTTTCCGCAGATGTTGTGGACAGGGTGGAGAAATGACCACAAATGCAGTGCATGGAGTTAAAAGCAGCATGTAAAAATATTCCCCTCCATGTCCCCCATGATGACACAGCTTGTGTTGAGGACACAAATTTTCCAGCCTGTCTCTCTCCTTGTAGGTCTCTGCTTTTCATATCTGCCCTTACACATAGCTAACAAGTATTAATCCTTCCTGGGATGTCATTTTCAGTCCAGTAAAACAGTTTTTTTCCTGTACAGCTGCCTTGCACCTTGAAAGTTAAGCCCTATGTGGAAGGTTTTATGTAGGTTTTCCCTCCTCCCAAAAGAGGGGAGGTTGTCCAGGATCTTCCCTTGGTCCATCCACTTGCTACCTACATCCCAGGCTGTCACCTGAGCATAGCAGCCCTGCATCCTCTGCATCCAGCTGCCCTGTTTTCCTCCCCTTGTACTCTACTCGAGTTTTTTCTTTCCTTTTCTTAATAGCTATTAATTCTGACTCTGAAAATCAAAGAGATTGTGATAACACAGGGCCAAGCAGCCTGCTTTCAGAGCTGTGATTCTTCATCTGTTCTCTGTTTTAAGGAAATGCAGAGATGTTTTTACTAGTTTGGATGGTTCTTTCCCAAATTTGAATTTATTTCCGTACTGTACTCATAATGTTCTACCTCTGTATATTAGTGTAAAGCTTCTGGGCATATTGGGTACACTCATTTATATCCAGTTTATTTTAAAAACGCACAACAAACAAATGAACACCTACCAAAACAATCAGTATCACTATTTCTTGATTGTGATTGCCTCAATTAATCCTGTTTTCATTTGAGAGACAGCACATTGCTGATGCTTTTCTGCTCTTCAGGCTGGTTTAGTCTTGTAGCTGAAGCCTTATTTCAAAATGTGAGATTTAAGCAAATTACACTTTCCATATTTTCTCACTTGTACTAGCTTCTTATGATTTTTGAATTTTATGGCACTTCAGTGATCCTTATCAGTTTGCAAATTAAAAAACAAATCCGAAGTGCAGTAGTCACAATATACCACAGTGTCCAGCCTTGCTGAGAGCAAGGTTGGAATTGACTGAATGTTTAATTAGCGTACCTTCCAAACATTTGAATAGTTCATTATGCTATTAACATAAACTAATTGTACTAGTAGTAATACTAATAGTTTACTGTTTACTGGCATAAATGATTTGTAAAGCAAGATAAATATTAGAGTGGAGTTTATTAGACTTCATAATCAGCACAGATAACTCTTTTTATATTGCTAGGATTTATCTTTGGTCACTCCCTGTGTTTCTTCATATTCTAGTCCTGCAGAAAAAGTACACTTACTTTCTTTTTCAATAAATCTTTTTTTTTTGTAAAGTTTGCAAAGCTTGGGAACTTTCCTTTCTGTAAGATTGTATCCCAGTCTTAGTCTGATAATTTCATTTTGAGGTTCTTTTTGCAAAGGTCTTTGTATAGAGTATGTTTGATTGTACTTGCAAAGTAATTTTCACTGTTGTCTATTGGACATTGTGTGTGTATTTGTATTTTGTATATATGTATGCACATCTATCTTATATGGAATTGAATTTTATTTAATTTAGCTTTTAAAGCAGTGTTAGAGTTTAAAGATTTTATGCCTATCTTAAATTGCAAACATGTGTTATTTGTCATGTTAGTTTGAAAAGCAAGGGGGGTAGAAGAGCTCCTGAAATTGATATCATGCTAAAGCTGTCTTTTTGTGCATGGAGTTTAGGATTTCCTGAAGAAATGTTCATCAGATCAATTCAGAATGTTTTGTTTGCGTGGCAGATACAGCTCAGGTAAGGAACAGCCCCTCAGCTGTTGAGGTGTGCATGGCTTTCCACACACCCTTCCCAGCCGCCAGTGCGGAGGTGGAGCGAGCTCCCCTGCGAGGCCGTGCAGTTCCCAAATCCCGTGGGTGGAAAGGTTTTGGTGGTGCTCTGTGGAGCTGCTTCTTGGCTAACATTTAGAAAATTGTCTTTTCTGAGCACAGTACATAACCATTCATTTAAATACCTTATTGAGCTGCAGTTAGTTGTGACTCTCAGTTAATTGTGCTTTTAATTAATGAATTACCTCTGTCTCTGATTTGCATTTGTTGTAGTTACTTGTATTGCAGTCATGATCAGCTCTTGTTAGAGATATATGTAGATGGAGCTGTGGCTTATATTCCTGTAGGGTATGATGAGGGCTGGCTAATAATTTTTTGTCTCCCTGCTGTGTTACCATTTTGTCCTGTGGAGTTCCTGAGTGTTCAGGCAGTTCTGTGGTGCAGTGCAGCTCTCTTAGACCAGCACATGATAACCTAATGAACATCTTAGCCTGCCTGATTATCTCTCTGCTGGTGGGGAGAGATGAGGGATATTTTGTCAGCTTCCCTATCTACCCCATAGTGTTTCCAGCAGGTAGGTGCTACTTTGAGCTGGAAGAGGTTTTCATATGCCTGTGTTCTTACCAGTTTATTGGGGTCTGCCAAAAGCAGATGGTAGTTCCTTAACCACTGCTGGGTCACCTGGCTTGTTAGCTGTCCTGGCATAGCAAGGGAATGGTGGAGCATGGGGCAGCAGCTGCTGTGGTGTTCCAGTGGGCCTCTGTCTGCCTTGGATAAAGCACCTGTAGCTGTGTGACTGTGAGAGCTGGCGTGGCCAGGGCTCTGGGGCATTGCTCGTGCCTGTCGGTGTTCAGTGTGCTGCCAGTCTTTATAGTCATGTAGTCATTGGATGAGAAGTCTTTCTGCTTGTTAATACTGCTAGCTGCCTTGCATGATCTTCCTGGTGGATCCTCCCTCTCCTAGGACAGTTGAAGGCATCAGGAAAGGAAGAGATTCCCTGCAATATTTCAGAGCTTGGGATAGTAAAGAGAGAAGTGGTTATTAACTTCCTCTCCAGATAGAGTGATAGAGTGGGGTGCATCCAGTTGGAAGGTCTGCTGCAGAAAAGCATCCTGTGTGGGGCAGGCAGTGGGTTGGTGGCATGCTTGGCTATTTTGGGATGATGCTGCAGGACAGGGGCACACTTGGCTGATTGCCTCTTTTAGGAGATGAAATACCTTGTGTACACTTAAATGTCTCCCTGGCTGGGGAAACCTGGGAGTCGTGAAAAAATGTGTATTTAAAACGAAAGAAAATAACATCTACTACACTATCATATATATATATGTTTGTAATGTAAACAAGAGCCAAATGTCTGGTAGTTTCTAACCTTGCCTCGGGACAAGGAAAGGCACTGGAGCCCTGCAGTGGAGGGTACCTGCAGACTTACTTCACTCTCTGTCAGCTGGCTGCATTTGAACCTGTGCTTTTTTACATTACTTCTAGGATAAACACCCTCGTGAGGTTAAAAAAGATGTGGATGTGGGTGGCTTTGATGAAAGCATATAGTGGTGTCAGAGTATAAGCCAGTTGGCAGGTAAGGGTTGCTCAGAAGTCTGCACTTGCCACCTCCTTATGAGGCTGTGTGCATTTTTAGCTTCCCAGTAAAGAGTTGGAGTTGGTCTCTGCTCAGCCAGGTATTTACTGTGCTGCCTGTCAGCTTGTATCCCTGCTATCAATATTGACTTTGGTCTAAACATAAGTTTACTGCATTCCTTTTCATCTGGCTGTCTGCTCATATTTTTATTAGAAGTGAGGTCTCAAGCACTTTCTGTTTGTTTCTTAAAAAGTTTTTATAGCTTAGACCCATGGGTGATGGTTCCTGCCGTTCCTGCCTGCCAAAGTAAAATCCAGGTTTGGGGGTCAGGTGGATCAAATCCACAAACGTTGACTTGAATTTGTAGAAAAGGTCTTTGTAGGCCTGTGGCTGAGGGCAGCTCCCAACAGTTGGGAATGGCTTGTGCTTGATACTGTGGTTTCTTGGGCTTGGAATGGGCCTTTTTTGTTGTCTGGGCTACCCCCTGTCTCTGTGTGTGCTAGCAGGCACAAATAGAGACAAATGTGACTCCAGACTGCCCCAGCCTTGGAGGGGCAAGGGTTGAAAGGGGGTGCATGTGTTTGATGGGAGTAGAGTCCCTTCCTGTGATGATCATTGTCAGAGGGAGGATAAAGCTGCATGCCTTGCTTCTGGGGAAGAGGAGAAAAGTCAAAGAGAAGAGACTTTGATCGTCCTTCCATAATGTATTTCTGGAAGGGGTTCCTCTGCTTCATCGCCCTCTCTGCCTGTTGGTGTGGTAGGGCAGAGCAGCTCGGGGTGAAGCTGAGCTTTGAGGGCAGTGGTGATTATCTGGGCATTTTGCTTTGGCTGGTGCCTCTGGCTGTTCCCTTCTTGGCCTGAATCACCACCTTGTGGCACATCGGAGGCTGTTGGGAAAATGGTTCCTAGCTACCCTAGGCAGCAGCGTGGTGACTCTACCAACGTGCCAGCTGCTTCTGGGTGCAGCTTGAAAGGAGAGGTGCCATCTCTGAAGTCCTGTGGGCCCCTGCTGTGAGGCAGCACTTTTCCTCTTGCATCTCAGCAGCAGTGCCTTCACTTTATGCAGTGAAGGGCAGGGCATGTTAGCAGTAGGGTTCTGTCTCCATAATGTTCTCCTGGTCACCAGAAATGCTTTTGTGAACCCTGTTTTGAATGTTTTGACCCCTCTGGTGTGTAATTACTTGTTGGTGCTAATAAACAAATGTATTGTAATTTGATGATGCATTGGTGATGCCATTGGTGGCAAAGGAGGGAAGAAGTGGGGAGCACAGTGAACGTTTATAGGGCCAGATTTGCCTGTGCTGCGTTGTGGGTTGGCAGTGCCCGCATGCAGTGGTTTGGGAGTATGCCCTGAACTGGGGATGAAGAATGGCTTGAAACAAAGTAGGTTTCATCAGAATAAACTTTTATTTAGTATTCCTTGCAGAATTCTTGTTACCAGGTTAATCAATTGAGTAATCCTCGTGTATATAAATGGTCATTCTCAGTGTCTCACTGTGTTTTAGAGGTCTGTACATTGGTCTTTTTGAAAAGTGAGTAACGCTTGATTTAATGAAGCAGTAATGCAGATCTTTAATTATGCACAGCTGAAAAATCGGACAAATACAGGTCCTGACTCACGCTTTTGCTACACTGGGGTAAATCCTGTGCAAAGGCTGTTTAAACAGTTAGGCTTCGTTGGGATTTAAGCTAATGGAGCTGAGATCTGTCTCACATCTGGCTGCTTTTTCCCCTCTTACAACTGCCCTCTTGGTAAGATTGTCTGCTCTAAAGAGCCTGTCTGGGCATCAGGTAATTTTACAAAGCAGTTGGATGTACCATGGCTGGACCAGAGGTGAGATTCCTGTGGCAGCTATGGGTGATGCTCAGTGCTGATGATATTAGGAATATGATGGCAGCTGTAGTTTGGATGTCCCTTATTGCAGAGGTCAGGTATACAGAAGTGAAGCAATACTGCACTGGCTATGAATGGCTCTGGTGTAATACTGGGGGAAGGAATGCATTCAAACTTAGGCTTGTCCTAGGTGGCCACAACTTCCACTGAAGTCAGGTGAGCTCTCCTATGTGGGGTCAAAAAGCTTTTCTACAGAAAATTGCACATTACTGTACAAATAAAAAAAAGCCTCTCACTGATTGCCAGTAAAAGTGACAGTGAGCTAGTCTGGCATCTGCTCTTCACAGGGTGCAGGCAAGGTGAGAGGAGCCTGCTGAACTCCTGCTAGCAGGAGTGGACTCTGAAAGTTCTCAAAGTAGAATTGCCTGCCAAAGCTGAACGCCCTGAATGCAGTGGGGATGTCTGTGTGCATGGATGCCTGGTTAGTGGTAGGGCTAATGTTTCTGCAGCTGGTGGAAGAGAAGCTCTGTAGGGTTCCTGTACAGCACATCTCTTTGTAAAGTGGAGCTCAGCTGTGGATGCAGGGAATCATTTGCCTCATTTATTTTGAGGTTTTATCTTTCTTTCCACTGGTCATAAGAGGCTTTGATATGTGTGAGTGTGATGAATCCCACCCCAGATATGCCCTTATGAGTTTAAGCAAATTGTATTTTCTCTAAAAATAGCTTTCTCAAAGTGATATGGTTGGTTTAGCTTTGATATTGTGAGGGAATTGTTCAGGAGTTAGACCACAAATTTTAGGTTCATCTTGATTTTAGATGCTGATGAAGCAGCCCTTTAAACAGAGTCAATGGTGAGGGTTAGGCCTCTTTGGAGATCTCCAAATACAGATTATTGTCTACCTAAATTAGAATAGGTACAAAATTAGAGTTATATGTTGCCATCACTAGAACACTTAGAAGTATATTAAATCCTAATGCTTTGGTATTGATAACTTCACAGAGAGATTCAATAATGGAAAAAAATTAAATAGTGAGTACTTCAATAAACTTCCAGATTCAACTTTTTGAACCAGTTTGGTATGTTTTCCAGTAGGTTATACTTTGTCATTTGTAGTGATTGTCTTTTATATTGATTTAATTCACCTAGTGTGCATGAAGAATGGAGCTTTTAATTAAATGTGCAATTAATTATAAGAAATTTGCTATACGAATAATAACAAACTTCTCCTTTGTCTCCAAATACTGTTCCTATGTATGAAAGACAACATTCTCTCCCTTATAATGCCTTAATTTCTTTATTTCTTAGCAGTAGAATTTAGTGAGGAGAGCATGGAAGATGCAAAGAACCTTCTTCAGTCAGTCTCCTCATTTATTAGAGATGCAAATGCTTATATAAAAGGAGAGCTGGTGTGTGACCCTGTTAGAGAAGACATATTGTGGGAAAGGTAAGTGTGCCTGCTGTATCTTAAAAGACTGTGATTATGTGAGCAGTAGTTCGCTGGCAGACTCAGAGACTCTCTTTAAGAAGCAAGACAAGGACTAAGCAGCAGTCTTCCCTCCCAGCCCAAAAACCAAGGGCAAGTTTTTTAAAAAATTCTCTTTCAAGTCAGCTATTTTTGCTCATAGTCTGCTACACTCAGTTCATTGTGTTTTTAAGATGTGTGCTACTTATCCAGTGTGCCTGTCCTAACACAAGCATCTTTGCCCCTTATGAATGATGTAGGAGGCAAAGCTATTGGCAGTTGTGAGGCTCTCCAGTTGGTAAGTAGAGCTGGGCAGGAGTGACTGGAGAAGAAAGAGGATGACTGAAGAGTGACACACCTTGGGCATGTGAATTTGTAATCAAGCTGGCTGGCGCTGTGGTGTACAGCAGAAGGGGAAAGGACTACTGAGAGATTGGCCACGGGCAGGGGTGTCACAGGGAAGGGAGCAGTTACAATTGTGACCCCAGCAATGGTGAGGAGAATCCTTTGGAGTCCATTATGAAAACCAGATTATCTTCAGGACTGAGATGTGCTGTGTGTTGGGTGCAAAGCTGAGAGCAGGAGCACGGTGCTCTGGAGTCAGGGTAGGAGGGCTGAGTGCCTTGAAGCAAGGTTAGTGCAGGCAGCTCTGGGCTGTAGAATCAGAGGGGAGACAGTCTGTGCTGTAGAGGTGAGAAGCAGCTTCCTTGTGGTTCAGTACCTCAGTGTGGGGGAAGCTTGTGGCTGCAGTGACTGAGGGTTGCAAGGGGCACTGGAACATGTTACAGGACAGTGGAGTTGCATTAACTAGCTGTGGTATTTGGCAAAAGCAAATCCTTCAGCAGGAGGTTCCAGGGGATCTGTTGGTGCAAGATAAAGCTGAGATGCATGAGGAAGTTGAAATAGATAATCAGTAGGGGATGTGTGAGAGGGCATGATTTGTGTATTTCTAGGTGTAAAAACAACTAAAATGAAACAAAGCTCTTAATTAGCCAAGTGTTAGATACTCAGTGGAGAGGGGGAAGCTTGTAGGGAAAAGTGTTGGAAGGAATAAATTAGAACAACAGCCATCCAGTATCTAAGGGGAAGTAGACATTCCAGGCAAAAAAAATTCAGAAACAGGCAAAATAAGGCTCAGGAGAGCCCCAAAGCTGCTAAGATAGCTTGAGGCTCCCCAGTTAACCCTGCTCCTTGCATTTTTTTGGGAAATGGTATCCTCGGGTCAGCGCTGTCAAGCTCTGGTTTGCCTGGCTGTGTATGGGAGCATGCTGCCAGCAGCTGTTTGTAGCTCCCCACTTATCCCTGCTGCTCTCCTCATCTCCCTCTCCAAGTGGCTGCAGCTGGTGGCACTGATTCTGTGGTGATCAGCGCTGGTTGCCTGCTGGCTTTTGGCACTGTGACACAAATGGTCCTACTGGACCTTTCCATCTGGGCCATGGTGAGTGGAATCCCTTGGGATTGGGCTCTCCTGGGAGATGAGGAGGCAGTGCTTGGTACTGAGTTGGATCCTGACAACAGGATTCTTGGCCAACTCCAGGACAGCTCTCTTGCCAGGCACTGGAGTGCTGCCTGTGATGTGCCTTTGGAAGAGAAGCATGCTGTTAGCATGATTAATGGGCTGCTGGAAAAAAAAAACAGAACTCAGTAAGATCTTTGATGTGCTTAATATCAGCCTCATTTTCCATCTGTTTTTAAATGATTTAAGGCAAACTTTGCTCTGTTGCTGTTGGCCCCTCTGATTAACCATGTCTATTTATTGAATGGATGTAACACTTAGGATTTTGACATGCATCAAATTTTTCCCTTCACAGCAGAAAGATGTATTTATTCTCCCTGATGAGTGCAGCACTGCCCATCACAAGACAGCTGGGAAGGATATGGCAGTGTCCTTTCAATGACTCCCTCTGGCTGAATGGCTGATGAATTCAGCATACTGCTGGCATCTTGTTTGTCTTATCTTAAATGTTACCTTTTCTTCTTGAAGGCTAGCCAACACAAAAGTAACCGTGAAGGCTGCGTTTGCAGATGACTTTGACACCTCCAGGGCTGTTGCAGCAATTATGGACCTCATTCACCATGGCAACAGACAGCTTAAGGCTGTTACTAAGGTAACCCATTAGGATACAGAGATCAGAAAATGACAGCTGTCCACTGTCCTACTGCTTAATGCAGACAGATTAGTTTATTGTTCACATAAGAAACCAGCAGAAACAAAGCTCCATAAATTGTTGACCTTAATGGAGCCCATTTGTCCTGACCCTATCGCAAGAATGGTGCATGGCTATTGTTTTGTGCTTTGTTGTGTCCAGAGGATGTTTCTTTCCTGCTGCCCTATGTTATTTATACCTGTGACATGCAGCTCATTTTAGTGCTGGTTCTGTATTCTTACCGTGCTTCTTTGCTTAATATCCATGCACAGAAATTAAGCTAAACTGGGAAGTGGTGGGGGGTGGTTGCTGCAGGGGCTTTGCTGGCAGCCCCAGGTGCACTGGGCAGTCTTGGTGGCGAGTTCAGCTTTGGGGACTGAGTGGCTTCTGCTGTCAGCAGACTATAACTGGCATCAGCATTCCTGTATGAATCTGTCTTCAGATAGCTTTTGGCAAATTAAGACCCTTTTAAGATCTCTCATGCTGATACAAAGAAAGCATCTGGTAAGGACAAGACTTGAGCAATAAACACTATCTGAATCATTTCTGGGTTCTCCATTTACCAACAGCTCCCTTTGTCACTAAAGGCCAGCACCTCAGCCTTGTTGCTGTTCTCCCTGAGTACTGGTATCACCGTGTTCACTATGTTTGTGCAGTAAAAGAAATGTTGTGTACATGGTTATAACTGGTCTTAAGAGTGAATTAGCCTGTTGGTTTAGAAATCCTGCCTCCCTCTGGTCCTGTTTTGGCATTGGCTTTAAATTCTGTCCTTAGCCTTATCTTTACAAATTGACTCTCTGAGTGAATCCCTGACCTGAAACACTTTGCAGCAGGGATCTGTAATGGCATTGCCACTCCGAGATGCAGCTATCCTCGTTTTGTCAGTCACTGCTTGTTGCCTCTGAATTCTTCCTGTTGATTGTTTTGTTGAGAAGGGGATGGGATATTTGTGGGAGCTGACTGGGATTTCTGGTTGAGGTGGTAGAGCTTTTCTGGAGTGTTCCCTCTTTATTATGCAAGTTATGAGTGTAGTTTTTCTCTGTAAGAACTATGATTAAATCCATATAACTCCTCTCTTTAGCCTTCCTGCTAAGCATTTCTCACCTTAGATGGCATGCTTCTGTTCCTTTCTCCCAGTGGCCTGCTCCAGCTCCTCCCAGTTCAGGTCTTCCTATACATTTTAAACTATAGCTTATCTCAGGCCCTAATGAAGATATCAGATAAAATCCAGTACCAGCTGCTGATTTGCTTGTGCATTTCATCACTCTTATTTTTTAGGCAAGGGTTAGTTCCTGAAATTGCTCCTCAATCTGTCATTTAATCCTTATTTTATTGCTGCTGCTGCTAACGTCATAGGCTATCTCAAAGCAGTCTCCACATGGATCAAATCAATAAGATACTCAAAGAATTTTTAAAATCTTTCATATTATAGGTGCCCATTAGTGTGGGATTTTGTTCTTTTTATTTTGTTTCCATACACACAGCCCTTTCATACCCAGAAGTGCTATTTTTAGTTCTAATTTACTGCACACGTGTAATGCATGGCAGCTTCCCGCATCTTTTCTCCTTGCTGTGCAGGCTGGTGATAAGCTCTTCCCTTCCCTTGTTTACTTAAATCCCTTCCCTTTGTGCTGTGAGGTGTTTTTATATCTCTAAGATTGCCTGTCTGGGCAGGTGTTCCTGCTGGAGGTAGATCTTTATAATTAGTAATAGTTTTCCCTTGTGGACTAGGCTACAGAGAGATGCTGGGTTCTGTAATATGTATTGACTGGACAATCTCTTTTGAGTGTTTTCTAAACAGGATGCTGGATCTCCTAGAAGCTCTGTTGTGTATGGAAGCATTATTTCCTATATAGAAGGCTTTTTCAATGCCCTTGGGATGTCCTTTGGAGAAAGACAGGTAATGAAATATCTCTTCTATGTGTTCGAGGATATGGTAGCAGCCCCAGTGTTAGGTTTCATAGAGTGCTTTCTGAAAGCATCAGATGTAACAAAGTTATTTATGGTTTTAGTAAACCTTTCTGCACTGCTTGCAGTTTCTCCTGTGATGTGTTAGGAGAGTGTATGAGCAGGTGGAACAAAGTGTGGGCTTTTTAGTTCCTGGAGGTACTCCCGTGTGACTTCTGCGCCAATTTTGCTGTGGAAATGAAAGACTGAGGAATAAAATAAGAAAAAGTTAGCATTGGAGGCCTTTAAATTGTCCTGTTATATGTCTGTCTTGGCCCAGCTTTTCCTCTTCTTCCTGATGGCTGCATCCAGGCTGGCTTTGATAGGTGTGTGATTATTTGCAGTTGCAAGGGGTCCCACTCCTCAGTAGAAAGCCAGAGAAAGGGGCAGCTCTGCCTTGAGCCGTAGGGGAATATGAGAAGGGGAGGACAGTGAGCTGGGGATGGGGACCAACTACTTCTGGGAAAGATAGGACTGGGGAGAGAAAAGCTCAAAGCAAAGTACTGAACGGGAAAGAGAGTCATCAATATGGAGGTGATATCCCAATGTATGAAAGGGGAGCATTTAAAATGACACAAAGTGTTGGAGAATAGCAGGTTGTTCTTTGCTCCTCTTCTGCTCAAATATGGAGCTGAATGCAAAGTAGTGGAAAAACTTTCTGTAGAGAAACTGTTCTGCAAAACAGAGCAGTTATTTTGGGGAGGGGGAGGAGAGAATAAGAAAATGTAAATAACATTATTCATCGGTTGAAAATCACGCAATATAGTGCTAAATGCATTTATTTAGTTTGCCTCCATGGATTTTCTCACAAAATTTCTTTCAAAACAGTGGCTGGATGTGATTTGGCTGTGTGTTACTCCTCACAGCCTGTGGTTTGCATGTTAATTTTTAGTGGCGTACTAAACACTCAATTTTTTTTGTTAGCTGGATGGCAAAGTCATTCCTCCAGATTTTGGGCTGCCTATGTGCAGGCATCTGCTGCACTTATATTGTTGCTGAAACAAGTATCTGAATGCTTTCCTTTGTTGTAGGCTGTGCTAATCCCTTTCTCTGTATGGCAGGAGGATCAGCAGAAGATGCTGGTGTGAGATAAGCAGGAGGAAAGGAGCAGCTCATCAGACTGCTCTCTGTTCCTTTGTTCTTTCAGCTTCCAGTAAATGAATCAGTCAAAATCTTCATCAGAAAGGTCCATGGGCTACCACAATTTAGTAAATAAAATGCTGTAGGGATTGTTCCCTCATTCTCAGACCAGCCACAGTGGCTCAGCATCCAGCCTTCCTTGCCCCTTAGCCAGGTAGCCCCAGGCATGCAGCTTGCTAGGAGCAGTCCCTGACCACAATGGGTCCTGGCATGTGTGCTGTGTGGGAGAGGGCTGCCTGGCCTGGACACTGCTGTGCTAGCAGTGCAGAGAATACAGGCAGCAGTGTTTGGGCCCCCTCATTTGGATGTTTGCTTGTAGTCTGTGGGTCTGTCTTGCTCCTGGGCTGGGATTCATCTCAGCTAATCAGCCTCATGTAGCTGCATGTGCTTCTGAAGTCACCAGTGGGGATGCTAAGGAATGGCTCATCTCAGTCTAGTGGCTCTATGCGATAAGAGCACCTGTCTCTCTCTGCATTGGAAAGAGAAGATTTTATCTTCTTAAGGGAGGTAAGCTGAATCCATCTGGAAAGGTGGTGAGTGAAAACCATTGTCCTGTTACAGAGCTGGGAAGTTTTTGCTCTCCCAGAGAGTAGTGCAGTGTTGAGTGCATTGCAGGTGCAGCTGGGGTCAATCTATGCAGTAAGCAAGGGTCAGAAATTTGAGAACAGCCGTGAGAGGCTACACAGTGTTTTATGTGGCAATCAGACTGGTTCATGTCCTAAAGCTGCTCCTCCTCTTGAAGGCTTTCACTCCAGTAGGTGCCTGGTTTGAACTCTTGCAATGGTGTTTGTAGAGGCATGTTTCTTGCTCCCATCATCATGGCTTTCCCTTCTGTATTTAAGTATTTATCCTGCCACAGGTTATTGTGGAGCATTTCTGGCACTTAGATTTGTTACCTTTTTCAATCTCATAAACTTTTTCTTTAGTATGGCTGCATGTTTTGAAAGCTTAAGGAATTCACTGTATTTCACACTCATACTTCAATAGCTTCCCCCTCACCTCCTCCTCCTGCTCCCCTTTGTTTGTCAGTGACCTCTGAAACTCTGCTCCTTTTCATTTCTATCCTGCTGTTTGGTGACTAAACCAAGTCCCCTCTGGCTTTAATTACTCAGCTGCTCTTCTGCTCCCAGCTGATGTTGCTGCCAGGAGCTTTGCCCGTGGCCTTGGTGTGTTTTGTGCTCCTGCTCTTGTGTCTTAGTGAAAAAACACTGCAGTGGTGTTCTCTTGTTTGTTGGAGGTTTGTCCTTTTCCTCCCCCTTGGGAGCTTGCCTCTAATGAGAAGCAGGGTTGGTCTCCCTGCCAAGAGTGAGATCAGGAGCCTGGCTGTGCTGGTGCTGAGGAGTGGCCTTCCTCTCCAGCTGACTCCCAAGCTCCCGTCCTGGCAGCTGTTGGAGCAGGACTCTGTAGGAGGAGTGAGTCTGTTCCCTTCCTGAGGCATTGACCAGCGAGACTCCTGCCAAGCCAGAGGAGGCCGAGGAAGCTTGGAAGTGGCTGAGGGGAGGAAGGGGCTCAGCTGCAGCCAGGAAACACCCACGGCCTGTGTGCAGTAGCTGCTGCTTCCATCAGGTTTTTTTGAGTGGCTGAAACCTTGGGTAAGGTGGATCAGATGAAAGTTCTGTGGATTTGGGAAGGGTTTCTGTAGATGAAAGGAGAAAGGATAGGATGGTCTAGAGACTTAAAGCCAAAATACTTACTTTTCTTGGTTAGTGTTTCGTGAAGGAGGTCTAGAGCTCAGAGACAGAGTAAGGGGCTGGTGTGTTCTCTGTCTTTGGACTTCTACAGCCAAGGAGCTGAGCTGGTGGCTAGGATTCCCTTGTTGTGTTGGATTCCTGTTGCCAGGCCTTTCTTAGATTAACTTGTCTGGTCCCTTTTTAAACTATGCATGCTTCTGGCATCTCCAAGGTATCCTGTGGCGTTGGGTTCTCCACTTGTGTTACACAGTGTTGTGTTCATGTGAGAGCACTCTGCTCCAAGGTAAATGCTTTCTTGTGTAGGAATATGCTGCATTACTTCCAAGTGTCACTCCACCGTAACTTTTTGTCCAGTATTAGCAAGATGGTGACATTTTAATCCTACCAGTATATGGAGGATGCACAACCAAGAGAGGTGACAAGGCCTCTCATTGCTACGGAGATGGGGTTGATTTTTTGAATGTCATACTCAGGTATTTGTAAAGCACTGTGTTTGGTTTCTAGGTGGCTGTGGCAGCAGACAAGTCCGCAGTGCTCTCCAGTGTCATTGAGGAGCTGGTGAGGTTCCGCACCAAGGTCCGTCATTACGCGCTGGCCCTGCCGGAAGCAGCAGACGCGGAGCCACTGCAGGGTGCGGCGGGAGCCGAGGAGCACAAAGAGGAGCAGAAGGAAAGGAGGAAGCAGTTAATGCGGGAGAGAAAGCCCCTCTTGGAGGCTTGTGACAGTCTGCGTGGAGACCTTGCTGCCTTTGGAATCCACATAAAGGTAGAAGACAGTGACCCTCTTTGTGAGATTCTCAGTCACTTTTTAAGACAGCACATATTTTTGTCCTTCATTCCCCTTGAGCAGCCAGTGGCGTTGTGCCCTGCTCCCTGTGTGACTGCAGTCGCAAGTGGTGGAAGTCAAGCCCTTGTCTGGCTGTATTGCTGCCTTCTCTTCTGCTCCCCCTCAGCCTTGTGTCTTCATGCAAGCCACTGAAAATCTCATAATGTTCAGAAATCCCTAAGTTGTCCAAGTTCAATTCAGAAGGAAGGGTGTGAGTAATGTGTGCAGTCTTAAAAACGATTGCAAAAGAACTGGAAAGTAAACTGAGATGACTTATGAAAATAATGCCTACCTTCTATCTACCCCACACTCACCACCAAAAATAAGTCTTCATGAGAAAGCCTCTTTCATGTTCAGCAGCTTCATTCCCAATTGTTCCTGAGCCACAGGATTGGTACAGGATTCCTGTACCACTCCTCTCTCCATCCTGCTTTCTGCTTCTAGCCTACACCTAATGTAGGCTAAAGCACCAATGTTCTTTTCCATTATCTCAGTGGCATCTCTGGCTCGAGAAAATGGCATTACTGCCTGTGGCATTACTGCCTTCTCCTGGTTCCAAGGACCTGCATTATTTCTTTAAAGTGCTGCTTCTTCCCGTTCCTCTTGGTCACTGCCCTTCTTGCCTCTATGAGGCGAGGGTCAGTGTTGCTTCTTGAGTGCAGAATAATCTCCCACATTCTCTCCCTCCATCCAGTTTATCCTGTTCATTTTTCCTTTGCTTGGGAACTGATCCTAGCAAGTCTGGTTCCATGGTTCTCCCAGTGGGAGGATGGAAAGCACAATGACATCAGGGAGTGACAGCACACATCCGCTCCAGCTGCTGAGTGTGAGGGCTGTCACTTGTCAGCGTGGTCGGCTCTCTCCTCCCTCGGATGACACAAACCAGGGTGAGGGCCAGAGCGTGGTGGTGGTGAGCTGCAGCTGAGAAAGGAAAGGGAAGCTGGAGCATCTGCTTCCTTTAACTTGTCTGTAAATCCCCACTACACTCACCTGTCAAGCAAGTTGCAAATCCAAACAACTGCGCTGAGACAAAGTCTTGGAGAAGCAGCCTTCCTTTTCATCTATTAGAAAAATGTTGCAGCTCCACCTCCATCCTTTCACAGAACTGTTTTGGTTTGTTTTTAAAGGGATTTACATTTGAAAACCCCACAAATTAGTCTGAGCCAGGATTCAATCCATTCCATTTATTAAAAAAAAATTTTAATAACCTGAAGCTCAGCATAATCTGTCCCAGAATAGATTGCTCCAGAAGACAAAGCACACATGCACTTAGGAGCACATACAGAGCAAGCATCTGAAGCAAGCTGAACTCCTGCTTTTTTTGCTGATACTCTGGAAGTGTCCAAAGGTGTGTTATGAAGTTAGCTCACAGCTTGCTTTTGCAGATCCCACAGTCCTGCAAACGGAGTGATGCAGCTCTGGAATTCCTCACACAGGCTCACTGAAGCACGTGTGCAACAAGACACAGCGTACACAAAGCAAGGCTCTCCCCTCCCTCTTGCTCATCGTGACTCTGCCTTGCTGGGTCAGCTGATGCCAAAAACGCCCATTAAAACAGCACCTAACAGGGGTCCTGCTTGCCAAATAAGTGTTTGAGGCATTTATGTGGATTTCTCATTTCTGCCCAGCCCCTCATTTCCACAGAATGTTTGAACCTCACACTGTGTGTGCATTAATGCCAACAGGCTGCCCTCTGTCACATGAGGCTCAAGCAAACCAGCAACTCCTGAAGCCCATGTGCAGGAGGAAAAGCAGCAGAACAGATGAAGCAGATAAGCCTCAGCTCCACCCAGTGCAGACTAGGAACTCCTGGTTTGAGGCAGGGCAGGGAGGGGGTGGCTCGAATAGAAGCTTAATTTTCTTAAAAATCAGCTTTGTAGAAAGGGTAATTTGTCCTTCATGTTCTAGCTTGTGATTTCCCTACTCTGGTTACTTCTGTCAGGTTGCTCATTCTAAAGGATGCTGGCTGAAGTTACATAACTTGCAACAGACTGATTTAAAAAAAATCCATGTGCCAATGTTGTAATTGTGTATTTAGGCATCAGAAAGTTTTCATTTTCATGCAAAAAAAGATTGAACAGTTTCAGCTGCTCTTATGAGTCAGCGCTCATGGAACATTGTCGTGTCAATGTTCAGATTAACTTTTATTTTCAACCACTGCAATCAAACAGCTGGTTCTAAATAGAATGTTCAATTTAGCTGCAATATTGCCTTTCAAAAATATGACAGTATCACATTACAGATATTAAAACCAACAGGCTTCTGTCCTGAGTTCAGATGAAACATGTTCAGCCTTCTTACATTCTTATGTATTGAGCGTATTTTTTCAGGGACATGAGCCACTGAGGCTTGAAAATGCAATTGCATGAGTTGAGTGTAGCTACTCATGTGAGAGGCTAGAGCATCCCACGTTGAAGAGGTAACATTTCTACTGTGCATTTCTTCCCTCTCAGCTAGGAAAAACTGTTTTGTTTTACAACTCTGAGCATTATTATTAGCAGTGGCATTCCTGTGAGATTGTATTGCCACCTCTTTTGTCCAATTGGATGAATAGCTTTGCTGAGTGAATCTTGGTTAAAAACCTGTGATCCAGTCTGCAGGACTGACCTGCTTACTTTTTCTTACAGGACAGAGCTGCTGTTTCCACCTGGGAAATTGTGGAAGGAAGGCAGACAGAGAAGCAAACTGAGAAAAAAAGCTGATTCTTCATCCTTGGACTTACTTTTTATTTCAGCTACTTTGGCAACTGTTGTAAATACTAATTCTTTCAAAATAAAATCTGTTGAACAGAATGGCTAAAAATGATAGCATGTAATTTGAGCAAAACTGTTGGCACTAGCACTTGGTAAATAAATACAGGCCTTGCAGAACAGGTGCTGGAAGCATCCAGAATACAAGGCACCACAGGAGCAGCTGCACTGATTTAACACAGACGGGTCTGTTTTGCTGCAGGAACTGCCCCAGCCCAAAGGCTCTGCCCTCACCCCATGTTGCTGACCTGACACAGAATTTAAACACAGTGAAGGCAGAGGCAGGAACTTAGGCCTGTCTTTAAGGTAAAAACACTTCATTTTATGCCTGTTGGTTTGACAATTCTGTCCCTCTCAGACAGAGGAATGGGGGACACTTTTAAGTATTTCCTTATTGCAGTGGCGCTGCTTTGATCCTGTGACACTTTTATGTGTAATATATGATGGTATCCAGTTACCTGTAAGGCTTGGTATCTTCTATTTGCTTTTGCACAAAATACAAGGACATTTCTCTAGCACTGGGAGTCCAGCACACTCAGGATCTCTCCAGAATTGAGAAACTAAAATTAGGATGTATATATATTAGTATATATATTTGTATAAAATATGTTTAGTTTTTACCTGTTGCCTTTTTGCTGGCACTGGCTGCTGTGGCTGTGGGCAGAGGTGCAGAAGCTTCTCTTACACCTGAGGTGACCTGTGTTCTAGGGCCTGTGTTGTTAAGGGGCTAGTACTTGCCTGGTACCTGCACTTTTAAAAAATCAGTTTATAAAAACAGAAGAATGTGGGTTCATCTGCAAGACACTTAGGTGTTTTCAAAGTATTTGTTCAAGAGCCTAAAGGCTTCTTTTATACTGTTGAGAATAATATGCATAGCTGTTTTTCTGCTCCCTTTCTCTATTATTATCTGTACTTCCAGAGAAGAGTGGGGTGTCTCTTCATTCAGCACTGGGGCACAGGTGCTTATCTGACACAGCTGGTATTGTACATTTGCTTGTGGCAGTGTTGTTCTAGCAAAACAGAGTAAATGGTGAGCAGCAGCTCAGCTGTTGTGTGAAAGGGATCAGCACACACCAAACAAAGTCCAGTCAATTTGCTATTATTTTTATTTCCTACCAAAAGAAACTGCTACATTTCCAGAATGTTTAAAAATTGTAACAATTTGTATACATTAGTGAATAACAGTTACAACTTCTGTGTAGCTTTAAAACCAACGGGGCAGGTTGAAATCTGTACTGAGCTCTGTTAATTGATTGACTTTGCCTACACGTCATTTAGATTATAATACCACTGATGTTTTAATTGCAAGAAAAAAAATTACTTATTTTAAAGGCAGTAGCTGTTTTAAAATCAGTTTTAGCCTTCTGATTTTTATTTAAAAGTAGTCAGGTTTCTCAAATACATTTAAAGGGGGAAATAATAACTTGTTTCCCCAAAGATGCAGACAGTTTACAAAACTGCTTAAATTAGACACTAAAACCTCAGTTCTTAAGAGTAGTTTGTGAACCCTCATAGAGCAACACAAGCAAACATTTAAAAACCTATTTTAAAAATAGGTAACTGGTTTAAAAAGAAAAATGCATCAGGGTGAGGTAGTAGTCACAGTGCATCCAGAAATACCAACTTGTAAGGACTGAAGTATTTGGAGTAGCCTTTCTGATTGCAGGTGCTTCCTGCAGGCAGCCATTGCAAGGAATGAGAACAGTCTGACTGGTCTGTGGGACACCACATTCCAGCTGAGAGCACCACAAGAGTGGCTGTGCTGAGCAGGTGACATCTGCTGCAATAACTGCGTGCATTACGTGCTTGTTCTGGTGCTTTAATGAGCAGGAACACTTGGAGCAGGAGTGGAGGTTCAAGGGCAGTACCCAGTAAATTTACTTTGCATGAACTTGCCTTCCTCTCCACTCTGGTTCAATCCCGACAAGCTTTGACTAAATCGCCAAAAATTTAAGGAATGGTCCTGTGCAAAATCCCATGGAAGTTCTGCTTTACACGTAATGCTTGCCTGCTCTGTCAGTGTGCCAGATCTGTGTGGTTCTCACAGTGTGTCTGTCCTGCAAAAATCAAGTAAAAGCCTCAACACTTTTTGCTCTAAAAAGTCCTTTTTGCAGTACTAAGTACTGCACCTGAAGCTCAAACACCGACCACCCTATTTCTGTTCCTGCCTTTGACTTGCAGCAGACACTGCCTGCACTCTGCTGTGAAGGTACAGGTACGAGCTCTGGGCTGCCTTTTGTTCCTTCAGCTTGTATTCCTGCTGGCTCATCGCTGTCCACCTACAGGTCTGTGTGCTGGGCTGCTCTGAGCTCTGACCCAGCAGGCAGCTGGAGTTTTAAAAGCACTTCACTCTTCCATGATCACTGAGAGCTGAACCAGTTCTGCTGGCTGTCACGGAGTTTCTTGCCCCGCCTAGTACCTCTCCAAATGACAATTTCAAAACTTCATTGTATTGAGTCAAAACCAGATAAGAAAACAGAAATTTATTTCTTTTTCAGGTAAGCCTAATTATTGTTTAATGACTTTTACTTCTAGGATTTCTATAGCATATCTTTATTCTGCCAAGGGGAAACCTTTTAAAAAAAATTAACAAGACATTACAGGGATGCCTTGTCCTAATGAATGCTGCCTCTGAGACCAGGAATGGGAAAAGGCAACTAATTACATTCAAAATCTACAGCAACTCTCATGCATTCCCTTTCCAAAGAGGCTTACTTTTTGCTTTTTACTATACTAGCATGGCAAAACATGAAGTGCAATAGCTAATTCTAGACAGAGGGTCTAATAATGACAAGTGACAACCTTGCTGAAATCCAAGAAATTCAGTTGAGCTGGTGGAAGAATTTTATCTAAATATCAAGTGCATTTTTTTTGTTGTTGTTCACACTTTAGTTATTGCTCAATAACTATCAAAAAGAACAGAGGAATACTTTCAGTTTAGTTTTATTATATTATAACAGTTCTGCAACTACAGCTTATTTCAGCCAAAACATTTTTGTATTCCAAACTCTTAAAAAATATCTACATTAATCATATTTTTCTATTCTTAAAAATAAAAAATATCTACCTAACATACCAATGCTGCTACAGCACTTGAAAGGGTGCATTATGTAAATTCTACGGTACATGTAATTACTCTTGCAGTCATTGTTCTTCCTTTTCTTCTTCTCTGCAGCTTTGGCTTCAGGTTTCAAAAAGTTTGTTAAAAGCTGTTCCAACTTCTGAAATCATGTCAGAGGCTGTCATTGAACGTCCGAATTTCTGAAAGGCTTGGTGGTTAGACTGCCTTGTGAGAGAGCAAGCTCCAAATGCAGCCACTAGAAAGGGATTTTGACTGAAAGGAAAAAAAAAACAGAAAACAAAATTAAAAAGAGAATCTGAACACTTCTATGCAATTTATAAGGTGGTGGACATCATCTTTGTACTTGTAAATATTAGCATTGCTAGGAAGGCCTCTTAAGCAAACATGTTCTCAGACTCTTGCACTGCAGAGCATCTTTGAATTTTTTTAAACAAATACTTCCCTACCCATGGCACAGCAAGTGATTGAGTGAGAAACACCAGGGCCAAAGCATGCAAAAGGACAACAGGATTAAAAAATGGGGAGGGTGTTCCACGTTTAGTTTTACTCGTGAAGCTTCATGCTTTCCTTCAGAGGAGGACCAAAGGCTCACCTGACATTTCAACCCCCTTTCTATTCTCTGGGAACTCCATTTAGTTTTGTCTTGCTGGGGTGGGGGAAGGTCATGGGGATGCAGACAGATGATTTTCAGCAGGGCCACAGAGACTGCTCCAGGGCTTTCAGTAGATCAGTTTCACAGGGGTACAGTGGCAAGTGAAGACCACAACACAAGCTAAGGCACACTGCTGTAATGCCTCCTACACAGTTATGAACTGCCCAAGAGAGTGTACCCAGACCCAGATCTGTGATGCTGAACCTTCCCCAGAGAAGCCAGCACAGTCCAAAGCCACCTCCACCTTTTACCTCCAGAGCATCTTTTCATAGGCTGGGCCATGGGAGTCATTCTGCTGCCTTAGAACAGAAAACATCTGCAGAGTAATTCAGCAGTCAGTGCTGTGCTCCAGGTCTGGCTGATAATAAACCTCACAAAGCTCAGCTTCAGCTGAGCATTGCTGCCTGGAACACACTAAGGACCTCCTGACTACTCTGCCAAGTTAGAGTTCTGTGAAGGATCCCAATGTAAAACACAAAGAAAGCAAGACATGACTTTACAATTAGGTGTTACCTAAGCAAAATTTCCATGTACTCATCAAGGAGCAGGAGTATTTAAGCCACCTTGAGAGTGAATCCTGGATGCCCAAATACTGCTCTGAAACAAAGAGCTGTGTACAGGCTCTTGGGCTCAAGGCAGCTAAAGCACCAAACACATCAGCATCCTCTCTACCCAAGTGAGGAATCCCACCTACTGTACCTCTAGCACCCCTGAAAGCCAGCACAATGTCAGTGTTTGAAAACCTCTCTGTACAGACCCATTTTGAAATGCCAGTCAGGCACAAGCTGGAAGGACTGGCTGGACTGCCTGCAGTGCAGTCTCCAAGTGGATGCCCTGACTCACTGTACCCAAAAAGCTCCTCCTCTCCTGCAACACATGAGGTAGGCAGGATTGGTACAGCAGGTGTCTGTGAAGGGTCACCTTAACACCACTGCAGGAGACACAATGCATTGCTGATGCCAATTATACTTTTCCTTCCTCTATAAAATAAAGGAGTTTCTGAGCGAGCTGTTTAGAAAAGCCATGGGAGCTCATGTCAGGAGAGCCTGGAAAACATGTGCTGTGTTTGCTAATCTCTCCAACAATTTAATACTGCTGTGCTGTACCCCATGCAAAAATGAAGGCACTCTTTTAACGACTTAGAACAGAATTCCTCCTTTCGTGGCAGCTGCAAATTCAGATACCCAGGATGACAAAGGAAACCAAGATTTAGATTTCAGAATTTTGAAGCCTGATTCAACTCATTCCCCCTAGGGCAAGGACAAGCACAGCCTGGATAACTCCCATGGATATCTGACACTGTGCACTGCATGCAGCATCCCAAAGACTATGAAAGGTCTCCACTCCTCAAGCTTCCATAGCTCGTTACTTATTGAGAAGAGGGACTGTAACTCCCTGACTGCTTATGTTGCTTCCAACTTTATTTAAAGCTGATGCTTTCACATAAAGACTCCAGGACTATCTGAACCAGCTAGTTCAGCAGGAACTGACATAATTTAACTAAAATGCCAAAAGCATGGCTGCTTTATGTACAACCAAAGTGGACTGCCATTTGGCCTTAAAACGATTACTCTCTTTGAAACTGTATTTTATTTGCAAGTTTCAGCATACCTGCCCCACTGAATTACTTAGCCACAATACAGGAAGACTCACCAAAAGAGAAAAAACAAAGCCAAACAACATGTCTTTTGAATTACAGAGATGTTATTGCCAATGACTACCATTTATTTATCCTTTCTACTTTCTGCCTACGTTCAATTGTTTTGAAAACACGTACCTCATACATAGAAGTCCTTGTACACAGATCTAGAGGCTCATTTGTCTGCCCCACACTTGGGAGACATTAGATTACTGAAAGGTTTGTCCTATTAAAATTATTACTGTTATACAGACTGCTCTAGACACCCTTACGCTTTTTAAAAGTACATGGATGCTTTTTAACCAAAATCTCCAATTTCATCTGGAAAGCAGGTCTACAACAGTTGCCATAGGTGAACACAGACTCACAGCAATTATTAATTAATATTCATACCCATTTGTTTTTTCAGCTCCAGCAACAAATGCCCAGTGTGCCATGACTCCAAGAGAGCCAGAAAGGAGGTCCCCCTGTCCACCACATCTCCGGCTGCTTCCTTCATGACTGCACACAAGTACTGTGAACAGAAAACCAAAACCAAAGTCTTGTGCTTTCATCCCTCAGTTTACAATGACAGCACTGCAGTTCCAAGGGTTACCCTCTGAGGCACACAGCAACTAACAGATGAGAGACAACACAGGCAGAAGAATACACTGAAATACACTAATCTTAAAAAAAAGTTGCATTAACATTTTAAAAAACACTTTCCTTATTACCTTTTAATCCTTTGTACATAACATTACACAATGTGTGCACTTTCTTCACTTCACTCAGCCTGCACAGGTGAGTTTAGTTCATGTGCCATCATGAGCCATCACCCCAAACTGGACCAGGTCCTTCCACAAAGCCATTGCACAAATACAACTCTTCAGTGTCTCTGACCTTCAGAGCTTGCCAGTGTAAACCAAGGTGTTTACAAAAAGCAAATGCAAAATAAAACTAAAATCTCAAATATTCTACCACGTCCATCACAGAAGTATTTTATTGAAACAGTCTTTTCTTTAGGCTTTGTAAAAAGCACATACAAGATAGATTTATTTTTGCCTGCCAGTGGACAGTGTCCTCACCATCCGTGTATGTTTCTGTCAGCAGTGTCATCGTGGGTACGCTGTGTCAGGATATCAGATGTTACATTTCTATTTTAAATATACAAAGGACCTTGGTCAAACTGATCTTTTTGTGCAGCTTTAACTATGAGTACATGTAAATGGTTTCATTACATTTAACTCCTTTTCCACTCTCAACAAGCCCAAGCAGGAAGGCTGGAGGACATATAAGGCACATAAAAAGAAGACAGCATCAATTCTGCTAGCCTTCTCTGAACTCTCTTGTGGGTATGTACCTACCCTTAGCTTTTTACTTGCTTGGCTCTGAAAAAAAAAACCCAGAAGAAATTTATTTTCCTCTCCTAGGACGATGGAAGAGATGGCAGAATCATGACTGGCCAAGTGTGATCCTTAGTATCTCCAGTCAGCTGTTGCAGGATTCAGGATTGTGCACACAATCACTTGTGTGCTTCTGAGCATGCCAAATATACAAGCTAAGGATAAAGCAAGATCAGGCATTGCTTGGACAACAGCTCTTACCTCAGGCCTGGGCTGGGTTTCTCCAAAGAGTATAAACAGTGCAGGCCAAGTGTTTTAGAGGGAGTACTGCCCATATTTTTAAAATTCGAAACAGTTTTTCAAACTAATGGAAAAAACTTGCACAGAACTGAAGTACTTGCAAATACATCTTTCTAACTAGCAAGTGGTAAAATACTACATAATGCCAATAAACTCCTTCCAGTTCATTATGTGCAACAGCAAAGAATTGTACTTCACTTCCATTTCCTACCGATCCTTCCAGCAGTAATTGCGGGGCTGGCAGGGCCAGGCAGTTGTGCGTGTTTGCTGCCATGGAGAGGGCAAAGATTCATTAGTCACCACGAGCACACCACACACCACTGCAGCCCTGCCAGCAGTTCATTTTCCCAATCACTCTTCTCCCCTTCCCCCTCCCCCTCTCAAATTAAGATTCTGGATGTGTTTCCCAGTGAGCAGTAGCTAATGTCAGATTTCACAAGTGTAATGCCCTTCTGAGTTAGCTATCTGAAGAAGGTATGCCCTTTTAGGTGCCGTGATTTATTCTTATTTTTATTTTAAATACAGTGCTTTGGAGAAATTACCTCTAATTCTACTACTTTGAAGATGCTATCTCACAGGATTTTCACTTTGAGGGCTTGAACTCCTGGCAGGAGGCAGGATGGAAATCCTCTGTTCAAAAGCTTTGGGGCCTTCTGACTGACAGCTGAGCACAAGCCCCTGCTTATTAGCTGTATGTCACCATCTGCCACTATTCTGTAGCCCTACAACCTTCTAGTCATTTTTGAGCTGTACAGGAAAACAAGATCTCCTCAAACTAGGCCAATTATAATACTCTGCTAAATAACAAAAAAAAAGTGGTCTTTTGTTTATGGTTTTAAAAAGTAAGTCTCGAAAATGTGCAGACTACCTCACAGGCAACAACAAAAGCAGACCTTTGTACTCTGCACACAAATGCTGGAAAACAAATCCATGGAATACCTTCAAAGAAGCAGAACTAGAGGAAATTCACTTGAATGAGGAGGGAAAGATATAACATACAATTCTTGTGCAGAGGCTCAGCTGATCAAAGAATATCTCAAAATAAAAGGATAATGAACATGACGACAGGCAATAGGAAAAGGATTTAAAAACACTTCTGAATTACAGCCATTATTAAGAGCTTTTAAATATAAGAAGGAATCCCACAGTGGCACCAAGACAAAGTGGCATACTGCTGAATCAACACAGGATTCTTTTCCCACCCTTCTCCTAGAACAGAAAAATGAAACTGCTGTCTTCACACTCCCCCAGTGTAACATCCCCCACTGCATGTCAGTTCCAGCAGTTCTTTAAGGACCATGGGGGTTTATGTTGCACTAAGAAGTCACAACCAGTGGCAAAATTACAAGAGCTCTATGAGCTGGACATGGCTGAATAGCCAGCCATGAGAAGGTGGGCAGTTCTATTCCCTGGAAACATGCACAATGCTCTATTTAGGGAAGGATGAAGCTGTTTTTGATCAGTTGTTCGTGTACATCAGCAAACATAGAAAACATGGCTCTTGGAAGAGCTGAGGAGATCAAGATGACTGGATGTGGGACAAAGGGAAACTACAAAGACTGAAATCACCACAATGTGTCAATTTTGAAAAGGCAGCAGCCAGGGCCACTTAAGGTCAATTAGTTTGACACCATTTTGGATCAAAACAATGGAGAAGTTCACTTACAGTTCCACTGACAGAAACACACAATTCATGCTGGTCAAGCTGGCTGTTAGAGCAGGGTGTCTAGTTCTGCTTTCCAACAGGTCTGAGCAACCAAACCCGATGTCATTATTTCTCAGGGTAATGAATCAAAGGAAACCCACCTCAGTGTAAGTAGCAGACAGTTTTTTAATGGAAACTGATTTACACCAAGTAACTCTCACGGATAAAAAAGTTACCCAACTCCCTAGCACTTATTCATGCAGCACACATATCAGAAGAAAAGGCTAGATGAAATAAAAATGTCATCACTGAGGAAATGCCTGCAAGGAGATCTGCTGGAGTCAGAACAACCAGAGTCCTATTCACCAGTTTCAACACAGTCTCAGCAAGTAAACATCACATAAATACTGCCAGAGCTAAAGGCAGCAAATACAACACATCCCTCACATATAATCACAAGGATTTCTTGTGTACCTAAATCCATGGAAATAATTGCACTGAAATGAGTGCAACACAGAAACAAAAAATTGAATGCTGTCACACTGACAGAATATTGTAATGTAGAAATCCAAGAGTTCTAGCCTTCAAACAATTCAAAACTCTGCCCCAGACTTTCTGGGTTACTAGGGTCAAGTTATTTAGTAGCTCTATGTTTAATATATTTCAGGCCATAAAATATCTTCAAGAAGTGCTGAAAAGGGAGCAATGGTAAGATATACATTTATATTTCTGAAAGCATTCAGACCATGGTGTCACACCTAGCTGTATCATTGCCAAGTTTTAAGCTGAAAGAACCCCCAGCCCAAATTTTGCTGCTGCCAAAAGCCCAGAAGAATGACCTATTTATGGGTATTGTATGCTTAATTTTTTAAAAATCCAAACCACAACAGTCTGTTATGTAACTGTAAGTAGCTGTCCTCTCTTTGAAGGAAAAAAAATCAGAATGAAGTAATTTTGCTGACTTCAAGCACTACAAGTTAACTGGGAAGCACAGATTTTGATATGGCTGTATGCAGGCAGCACCATTTCCAATGCCAGCTTCTAGATACATCACAGTTAGAAATCCAAGTTTTTCTAACTATAAAAGGTAGTGTGTATCTGTTTCTTCCTGATTCACCATGTTCACCAAGTAGTGAAAAAAATAAACTAATCTCTAGGGTGGTTTTTACTTTTGCATTTAGAGCAGGGCATGTGAAACATGGGATAGTTTAGTTCTTCTGATGATGGTTGAGAAGACTGAAGAGCCTATGTGAAATATCACATTTATTGAGACTGCAGACTGAAAGACTGGAGATTTTTAACAACTGAATTTCAGACATCCTAAACAAATTCCTTGCACTTGTTTTCCTCTTATAGAGGAGGGGTATTACACTCACCCTAATGTGGTGAGGAATCCATGTATGAAGCATGACCATTCTAACCTCTGATACAGCCCAACTGGATCCATCAGCTAACAGCCATCCCACACAACAAACACACTCCAGTTTAATTAAAAGGCTCAAGATTTTCATTTTCTATGCAAATAATGTAGCTACCAAGGATCTTTTTGCCTCATCAATGCAAGATTTAGATCATTATCAGATTTTTAGTAAAATCTCTTACCAATATACATCTCTCACCTAGCATGTACTTATACTAGTAAGAAATTTATCTTTTTCCTTTTGCAAGTTAGTTCACAAAAGCACATAGCTGGAGATCATGGAATCCCGGGAACATGTCCCAGAGTGCATACAGACAGGGAAACCAAGTTTAATGTCTCTGGCTGGAGAAACAACTCAACTGATGTGGAAAATGTAAGTTGGCTTTTATATAAAGGGTGCTTATACTTTTTTATTCCCTAATCACACTTTTAAAACTTAGATAAGTCCTTGAGTGCAAGATAGAGCAGGCAATTTGAGATGAAAATGACCCAAATTTTCCATTAGTTTTGCTGGATAGGCACAGGAGGCAGGGGCCAGGTGAACAGTGCCAGGGAGAAGCTGGCTGGGCTGCATGTGCCAGAGACAGCACAGTGGCACCAGGGACAGGAGCCATCACCTCCCCATTTTGCTCATTCTGCAGAAGCAGGACTGCAGACAAAGGTGCTCTCAGTTATAAATCTAGGTGAGATTTGCTCAGCAGCTGTGAGTGAGCCAGGCAGTGACAAGCATGGAACAGCTTCCTTTCCAGCTCTGTGGGGGGATGAATGGCTGGAATTAGAAGTACTACTTGGGGACTCATGGCCAGTTTGGCTTTTTACCCCACAGCCAGTACTCAGTATTCTGCTTTGCATGCTTCCTTGCTTCTTCTGACCATAGCTGCAGCTGAGCAACTGGAGAGAAACGCAAATTTAGCTACTGGTTCCAGGAAAAAGTAGTTCCAGGCAGTAGTAGGACAGTTCCCATGAAGCCTGCCTTTTGGAAGGGAGGAGGGTCAAACACAGAAAAGCTCACTATAATGTTTAAAAACCAAAATCCAAACACTCGAATTCAAGGACCTAACCAAATTTTAAACATGTTAGGAACTAAGGCTGGTATAACCACACTTTATTATTGACCAGTTCTCCAAAGAATAATAAAAAGATAACCTTAGAGAGCTGTGCCATAGTGAATAAAAGCTGACTTACCTTTTACCCATAGGCTGAGTACTCATTCCTACCCTGGTCAGTGATGGCACTGATATCACCTACCAAGAGCATGGTGAAGCTCATCTTTGTAGAGCAGGGAATCAACAACTGTAGACCAAGCTATAATGTGAAATTGCAAAAGGAAAGAGAAAGAGAGTATATAAACTTAATTTAAAATCTTGGTGATTATGTTTACAGGCCAGTTGGCAGCTCACTACTGAAATAGAGACAAATTTTAGAAAAACCTCCTTTATACTGGAGGATTGCTACTGCTTTCACAGAGGCCAGTATGTGACTTTGAGGCCATAAGGAATCACCTGCACCAGCTAGTCTGATCTGTGAAAACAAACTTTAGAGGTATCCAGATACTTCAAAGTTTGTGCATCTAGCAAAGTTTCAGGTATGTTGCTGTACTGGTTAATTTGTCTAGGTTAATTTGTCTAAACCTTACTTTGAATTTATTAAACTTCAGCTTCCAATCAGAGTTATCAAGTCTCTCTGTGTAGACTGCAAAGCTTTTTGCTGAGAATAATTCTTCAGCAATACTTGACACCAAATCACCTGGTAACCCTTTCTGTTTTCAGGTAACAGAAGTAAAGTGTCTACTGCATTTCCTACAGACTTATGAATAAAAGTACTGTGAAAATAACCACTACAATCACTCTAGGCTATAAAGCACTCACAAACCCAATCTTCCCTACTGCAAAATTTGGCATCTTCAAAAAGCCTTCCTCCCTTAACAACTAAGCATAAAACACTAAAGTTACATGGTTAAGTTTGCAATTTCTCAGTTTCTGGTTTCCCTGGAGAGCACTGAGATTTACTTTTCTCTCTTTTTTTTCCCTCCCTTGAAAGCACACATGTAGTATTTTCCCAAAGGAGATAGTTTAAAAGTAATATATGCAAACTAGAGTGTCAGTATGCTGAACACAGGAAGTCAAGCAGGAAATGCCGAATAGGTAGGACTTAAGAACTACAAATAGACGATGACACATTAAATAAAAGGCAAGAGGAGTACACAGATCTTTTCATAATGTTTGATTGTGCTCAGAGGACATTGGCCCGATCCAATAACCTTGGATTTCCCTCATGTATGTAGTCTTAGCTGAAAAAAAATTACATCAGATGAAAAGAGACAGATGAAAAATACGAGCAAAAAACCTGGGAAAGAATTCAAGGTCAGTGACATGACAAGATATTCCATGTTTGGCACAGAGCACATAGTAGAATCTCCTTTTTCAACATAATTTTGCATTTGAGAAGCTTTTAAAAAAGCAGATCAGACCCAAAGAACATTGTTGTTAAAAGGAAGCTGAAGTCTTTAGCTTCTGCAGAATTCTCAAGAACCTTCTTCCAAGTCATGCAAACTCTAAAAACAGTTCTTGTAACAGACATTATAACCTGCTTTTTTAGTTCAGCAATGCTGCTTGTAATGTCTGTAATCCAACAAAGCATCAGTGATAGCACCAAGGTAAGAACAAGAAAGCAGCCTACAGCTGGACATCAATCAACTGCTGTAAAGGCACAGAACTGTTTTTATTTCAAAACAAAAGCCACTTCACTAATAGGAGAAAATGCCAGAACACAACAAAGACAAATAACAAGGTGGGAAAAAATAAAACCAATAAAAAACCCCCAAAGCACACAAGACCTACATGAACTTGTGCCACATATGAACATTCAAAATTGAAACTGGAAAGAACTTCACTTGTTTCCTGATTTTTTTTAATCCTGCATGGCAAGAGACATTGGAGACTTGTCCTGTCTCTCCAGGAGGTGTGGTGATACACCAATCTCAAGAATAACCATTCAAAAGGAGAACAGACATATGCTAGATGATGTACTCAATCTAAAGTGCTCACCCAGTCTTCCCAACGTTCATTTAAAAAGCAACAATCCTGTATAAAAAGAAAATTATTGACATAAAAGCAGAGAAAGAAGACAACTACAATGCTCTAAAGCTCTCTAGCTGGCATAAACTGGAGTCAAGACCTTTTATCCTCCAGCAGAGTTCATCCACCTTTAAGCCTGGCCTAACTGTCCAAGGTTACAAATCAAATCTGCTAGAGGTGCAAATATGACAGCAGACCTCCTGTGGGGAAACCTGGGTGCTGTGTGAGGAAGGTCCTTTAGCACACAGATGTAACCATAACCATATTGCTGCCAGGTCTCACTTGCTGCAGTCTGCTACAGTGTCTGCACTAATGGGGTATGTGGAAGATGGCTCTGCACAAACCAGTTGTCATATTATATCTGCTTTTCTGTTATAAAAGGCTTCCATTCCTCTCAGTAATGAAAAATTGACTGTATATACAAAACAGTTCTGAAGCAGTATAAACATTTATCAGAGATTAGCATTTCAAGTAATTAAAAGCAGAGCTGCTGCTTGTTATGTATGTGAAATAAGACCATGCAGGCAAAATGTGACGAAGGCACTCATGAATTAATTTTACACTGATCATAGTAAATGATCAGTATAAAAAGCATCAGACAAGCAGCTAATATAAGTATACTTTAAGTATACTTTAAACCACACTGGTATGAAGACTGTTGCAAGGGCAATCTAGAGTTAATTTTTTTAATTTGTCAGGGCTGCTGTAAAGTTGTATATGTGCATGGTTATCTGCAGCCCCATGATGGACAGCATAAAGGAACTGAGCAGGTCATAAGCCTCAAGACATCTTCACTTCTCACACACACTGATACATCGTGAACTAACAGTATTATATTGTATCCATTTAGCAAAATACAGCTTCACTTACATAAACGATCTCAGCAAAGAACTTTCAAACAGTTCACAAAGATTAAATAATTAATTTCTCAATACCCATGTAATGTAAAATATAACATCTATAAATGTGAAATAAAATTGGCTACTTTTTTCAGCAAATAAATTCAGTTGCACTCTTAAAATATCAATTTACACAAATCATCTGAAGGTGATCTGCAAAGGAAGCAATCCCTCCATCTTCAACAGAATACAGCCAATTGCTAAACACTCTACTGGACTATGACTGAAAGCAAACAGAACAGAACAATCACATTGCTAAAAGCAGAAGGCTTCACTTACCCTTCTCTCCATCTGAAATAAGATCTCTTTCTCCCTTTTGCACAACTGTCAAATTCCCCATGGCTTGGCTGAGTCTCAACACACATCCATGATGATCACTACTGTCTACGGGGTCTCTAAGCTACAACACAAGAATTCCATACACAGTACATATTTTGCTACTGGAACAACATGTTCTAACACATGCTACTTACATATGCATGGGGGAAAAAAAAGGGCAACATCATCAGTCTTTCTGTGTATTTTTTCTATACCCACTGCAATGTTAAAAATTCATGAGAATGAGTCTTCTTTAAAAAAGAGCTCAGTTTAGGAAAATGCATTGCTGTGGCAATTATCCCATGGAATAATAACCCAGAGAGTGTTTTTATCACATACAAGAAACAACACACAATATTTAAGCCAATAATAAGTTACTTATTTTCAAGGACAAACAGACTAAACTTGCACATAGTGAAATACCAAAAAGTCAAACAGCTCACCATGGCTTCATACAGTCTACTGAACTCCATATAGTTTGGAGTAAGAATAGCTCGCTGGTAGCCTTGAATTAGAGAAGGCTGCTGGGAAATGAGCCACAGTCCATCCTGCAAAACACAGTAAGAAGAACATCACTGAATAGATTCTTAAATGTTAAACCACTGACTGAAATAAAAAAAATACTTACTGCATCAATAATGATAGGAATTCCTTTCACTTTCGACTTCTCTATAATACCCTGCAAAAAATGCAGATACTTTAATGATGCTTGTTAATTTAAATCTTGTAAGATCCAAATCAAATTCAAACAATAAATCTGACCATGTAAGTTGTTTTTACAAAGTGATAGAAAAAATCTACAGCAGGTAATATCAGCAGGTAATTTCACAGTCACAATGTTTTCTCCCTTTAAGTGTTTAGGTTTAAGTGTAAGGTTTAAGTTTAAGGTTTAAGTGTCCACAGAGTTGGTATGTGTATTGGGTACTCAGGGCAAGGTTTTGGGAAGGCGAAGACGGGCAACAGAGCTTCTCTGAGAACTTGTTGGAAGCTTCCCTCTGTCCAACAGAGCCAATGCCAGCCAGCTCCAAGACAGTCTTGCCACTAGCCAAGGCCAAGCCCATCAGTGACAGTGGTTACATCTCTGGGATAATAGATTTAAAAACAGGATAAAGTCACCATGCTGAATCAATTGCAGCCAGAGAAGAGAGGAGTGAGAATATATGAAGGCCACAGAAATTCAGGTCAGTGAAGGAGGAAGAGGGGGTGTTCCAGAGCAGATATTCCCCTGCAGCCTGTGGTACAGTTCACGGTGAGGCAGCTGTGCCTCTGTAGCCCATGGAAATCCACACTGTAGCAGAGCAGGTGGATGTCCAAAGGAGGCTGTGACCCCATGGAAAGCATGCACTGAAAGAGGCTCCTGGCAGGACCTGTGGCCCCACGGAGAGAGGAGCCCACACTGGAGCAATCTGTTCCTGAAGGACTGTACCCCATGTGAAGGATCCATGTTGGAGCAGTTTGTGAAGAACTGCAGTCCATGGGAAGTCCACTGGAGAAGTCTGTGGATGACTGTCTCTTGTCAGAGGGATCCCATGGTGGAACAGGGGAAGAATGTGGAGTCCCTTCCCCGAGGGGGAAAGAGCAGCGGAGACAATATGTGATGAACAGACCAGAGTATCCATTTCCCAACCCCCTGCACTGTTGACAGCAGGAAAATGAACAGTTTTGGAATTAAAATAAGCTTGGGAAGAAGGGAGGGGTGGAGTCAAAGTGTTTCACCATTTGGTTTTATTTCTCGTTATCCTACTCGGATTTTATTTGTTATAAAACTCCATTAATTTCCCCAAGTTGAGCCTGTTGCACATACTTCAACAAAACAGTAACTGGTGAATGATCTCTCCTGTCCTTATCTTAACCCACGAGTCTTCTGTTATATTTTCTTTCCCCTGTCCAGCTGAGAAGGGGAGTGACAGAGAAGCTTTGATGGGCACCCGGCATTCAGCCAGGGTTAACCCACCACAATAAGCAAACAAACAAGCAACCTCACCCACTCTGCCTGCCGTAGGAGGCATGTAATGCCAAAACAAATCACACATAGTAAACATACATCTTCAATTACAAAAACCCCAGAAAAATCCCAGTGACTACTGCCTTGACAGAAATCTACCAATAGCTATAATACTAACTTCAGTTGCTTTGCTGCTGACAGCTCCACTGCAGGATTAGTTTATGTAGTACAAACATCTGAGATGAGCAGTATGTATGATGTCATTTCACCTGTGGTTCTGGAGGTTTAATGCTTTGAAAGCAAAGCCAAGGTGGCCCAGACAAGAGACCATTTGTCAAAGTGGTTTTTTCAGCAAGCAATATCTCTAAGCAGACTGTCTGCCCTTGTTCTCTCTCCTAACTGAGCAGCAGCAATGACTGATCCTCAGGCTTTTTAATGAGCAGTGGCCAACAGTCAAGTTTTTTTCAGTGTTAGTTATTACCAACTCATCTTTGAAGCTGGAGGGTTTATCTTTTTCCTGTATAAGATAAAAGAGCATGGTATCCACCCAAAAGTTTAATTAATTTTGAATGTTATTAAGCTCTTCAAATTTGCTATCATATGGCACTGAGCTTCACAGGTTAGCAAGACATGATGCAAAGAATAAGGAAGCAATTTTTTATTAATATTCAGGGTATTGAATATCTCTCTTTTTTTGTTTAGTGCTCAAAGTCAACATCATCCACCTAGCTGCCTGTAAATTATTACATATGACATATACATATCCTCACAAACATTACTACCTGACTTTGATTTTTCCAATACCAGTGGAAGATGTTCCCCTTCTATTTTGTTTGTTGGACACTGTTTGCAGTTTGGAAGCATGAAGCACTGCTCCAAGCCTGAGGACTTGTCTCAACACACAGCTGGGCCTACAGTAGAAGCTGCTAGGGAACAGAAACCTTTCCTACATAGACTTGCACAACTTGGGCTGTGTGTCAGACTGCCAGGTGCCCACCTCCTTTGAAATCCCTAGGGAACACCTAGGAAAATTATTGGTTCAATAATTTTGAACCAATGGCAAGTTTTACACAACTCATACTGTTCAGCTACTGCTAAATTATTCAAACTTATTAGTAAGTAAACTTAACAGCTGTGTGAGGAGGGGGTCTTAAAACCCAGAATTAACTGTGGCATTCTGAAAACCAGAGTGCCTTACTTTCAAAGCTTTTAAGAAATGTATGAGAGAGTAATTTCTTAATTCATTCATGTTAATCTGCACAGATGTGCACAGCTCTGTTTTCCTTCACAGAAGTTGCACTGCTTTGCCCCTGCTCTGTTAAATTCATTAAAAATTACATTTAACTCGGCTCACTTTGTAACAATAAAATAAGGCCGTGGATCTAGCAGCCAGAATTTGTGTTTTGCTGTTTGTATTTTCCTTGTATAAATGAATGTTACAGATCCAACAGCCCAATTATTCCTGAACCATACTAAGCTCTTCTGATTAGATATCACAGGGCACTGAGACCCAGACCTCAGCAAGATCCTCCTCCCCCAATCTCTGAAGGTACAAACACTTTTTACTGCAACCTGGTTTTCTAACTGGTTATAATTAGAATATTTTTGTACATTAGCAGCTTCACCAAACTCCTTCAGTACACTTAAAATGATTACTGCTCCACTTCCCACTAACATGAATCACCAGTTTATTCTAGTATGGCAACTTCAGTAAGCCAGTCTTTCATGACACTTGATTTTCTAACACAATAAAGATTTCTCCACCAGAGTCAGTAAGGAAGTCTGAAGGAAGACACCAGATCTCAGGAGTCCTTATCCTTCCAAACTAGTCTCTTAAATGCATTATAAGCAATCTAGGGAAGGAATTTTGCCAAAGTTCTGTTCCCAAAACAGCTGAAGTTTGGCAGTTGTTGTTATTGTTTGGCCCCTTTTCATGTTTCCTCATAATTGGCATCGTGGCTATTGCAATCTCTCACTCTCTCCTAAATAAGCAATCCTGAAGATCCATGGTATACCAAAAGAATGTATAAGATTAAAAAAAGTGGAAGTTACAAAGCATGACAGTGTATCTACAGCTAAATAGCATCTGGAAGCCCAGATCACTGGTACACTTCAGAGAAATAAGGCATTTTTTTCCTAATAATGTTTTGAGTTCCTACCTCTCTAGCACATCCTCCACAATCCTGAAATATTGACCTCTACTCTGAAGAGAAATTTCACCTTGCTAAATAAAACCTACTGGGCAAGCAACTTTTATTGTGTACCAAGTCTCTGAGGGATCAGTTTCTAATCTAATATACTGAATGATCTTTGCTTGTTCTTCCTCTCCTTATAAAACAAATAATCAGGGGATACAAAGTTGTTTGTCTTTTTTAGAAAGCTCGTTTTTGATTTAAAAAATGCCAAACAATAAAAAACAAACAGAGCTTTTATCCTAATCATTTTCCTTTCCTCTTCCTTTCCTAAACCCAGACAGAACCTGCTTGGAGACAGACAAGGAACCTCAGAGAGGAAGTTCTGGGGAGGGAAGGGATGATTTCAAAACTAGAGTAAACCAGTAAAGACCAGGAACCCCCTAAGACAGCCCCACGTTTGAAGGACACAACATTCACGGGAGAACCCGTTTCCTACTGATGGTGGGCAGGACCACTGGAGAGCAATTCATCCCATGCAGCTTAGACACCTCGTTTAGGGTGGGATGAATAGCCAATAGACATACCTGTCTCTCCTCAGCTATCACAGGGGGTGCAGAGACTCTTTACTGTTTTATTTTTAGACACCAAGAATTAGGTGAGATGAAGCCCACTTTTAAATACTCTATTTCTGCAAATACCGTATTAAAAAAACCCTTAAATATTTGCATTAAGAGGAGTTTATGGCAATAATGGCAACATCCTCTATGCAGAGTACTTTGCTCCTAGGAGCAAAAACCAATTTTCAGCTGTATTTGTACCTTGGTATTTGGCATGGACTTTTTTGATTAATACCTGTAGATACAGAAGAACCTTCACTGGTTATTGCCCAATTAATACAGCTCAGACTAAGTCTGCTTTCACACCAAAACCTATATAACAGTTCCTGATAGAATTCTATGTATGAGCACAAACCATTTGTTCATTTTTATCCAATGTAACAATTATTTCTATGGGAAAGGATTTAAAACAGAACATTGACGATTAAAAATATTAAGAAATGTCACTAAGATAAAAGCTGAAATCAAAACACCAATGACAAGTCAACAGCAACACATACAGATATCAATGACGAGCCCAAGACATCATCCCTTCCCTTCAAACAGCATTGTGAATATTAAGATTTTGAAGATTCTAGCTCCAGGATATCCCAGTAGAAAAACTTCCTGTGCACAGAATGTCTTATACTACAACAGTGGTGGTTCAGCTTGATGCAAGGCAGGAGCACTTCCTTCAGTTGATTCCTAAGCCCTCAAGGACATCCAAAACTGAAGCACTGGACTCACAAGGGAACCTTGGCACGAGTCACAAAGCAGAGAGGACAATGATGACAAGATGATGATGATGCACTGTTGTCACCCAACCTTAGCTACACAGTGTGCCTGTAGGTCATAAGATATCAAAGACTGAAATTTGGATCCATCCTCTGCAATTCACAGCCAGGGCCAAAATTCAGTCTCTTACCTTTCATACTGAGAGTCTTAATAATGGGGTTCGGGCAATCTCTTGCTAGAGATATTCTTCTTTGTATTGGCTGGCTAA